TGTTGGCCTAGTGGCTTCGATCCCCGGCAGTGCACCCCAAACCTTTTTTTTGGATTTGAAGTCTGCATAGCAAACAGTACTATATTAAATATTTGGTAGATGAGACAGTACTGAAAAAAAATCTCTGTGCTTTAGATAAATGGCTTGCAGAAATAAAAATATTTAACTTTTGACTTTATGACCACAATACCCATTTTTGGTGACGATTTAGGGCTTGTAGACAGAAAATGTTAAACCTATTTTGTTTTATTATATTGTTTCTTGTATATTAAGCTCAAGTAAAGAGTAGGCAGCATTAAATTAAGTAAACATTTTGATTAATAATTAAAAGAGTAATATTATGGAGTTTATCGCTATAATGTAATTTCCTGTAGTACAGCAAAACATTTAAAATATCGAATCTTTTCATGGACAAACATTAAAAAAATTAGCAAGAAAAAATAGGCCGCGTACAATTCTGACTAGAGTTCCGTACTACAAAGGCATTTATCCGAGGTTCGCAGCCATTTAAATTCCACCTCAACTAGTTTCTAAAAATATATAGAACAAGAGATATCACGGTGACCCATTTCGCAAACTTTTGGCCCGAAGCATCTCATTTCAATTGTAGGCCGTTGTATTTGCAAGGGGAATGTACTCTTATTGAAAGGAGATATAACACAATTTCGTATAGCAAGCCAAGGCCCGATCTCGAAGAGTACTAGTAGACATTTTCCATGTATTGTAAACCCTCACAACATTTCTAATTCAATTTCTGCAGCGACAATGCTGTCATCTGCTTCTTTTTATTGTATTTGAACCCTCACTGAATTATGGAAAGTATTTTTCGTAAATATTGGGGATTCTTAAGTGTGGCAATACTGAGTGAGTCTGTGGGAACGCGGCTCAGAATATTTTATGATTTGTATCATTGCCGGTTACTTTAATTAATTATTTATTTACTCGTATAACAGGGGTGGATAAATTCACTTTTTATAGAAAATCTACGGCTCGCAGCAATTGTGATTGATATTTTTCATAAGAGAGAATATCTCATTAAAATAAAGGTTCTAAAGGAAGTATTATAGTCTTTTTGGTTAGTAATTATTTTCATTTTTATCTCTAGTCCAAGATTGCCTGTTATTTTGTAATTTATTGAAATTTTTTTTCAATTACTCTAAACCTATCATGTGTTGTATTACGAAGTGCCATCGATATATATAATAAACTTGGCGATCAAAAAGAGCGGCGGAGAGTTTATTGCCAGTTCTTTCCTTCCGTTCTTCGCCCTTGATTTGAGAACTGGCAGTAAATGTAAAATTATAAGCATTTAATGTATATTTCTTTTTTGACGTTCATAAGTGTGTTACCTATATGAATAAATGATTTTTAACTTTAAAAAATTTTTAGATGCCTTGTGTGGTGAAAATTAGTTAAAACAAGTAGACCAATAGATAATAGAAATACTTATTTATTTATAACGCATTACGCACATAAATAAACAATACAGTAATTACTCGCTGTATTTATTCACCTTTATTCGAGGCAAAAATTCTGCGAACATTGAAATGATAAGTCACATTAATTTACGCCCAAAAATAACAGCTAACGAAAAGCAGACAGGCAGTGTTCTTTGTGTAGCGTCGCGTCAGTTGTTTACATTAAGGCCGGCTCCACACGTTGGCCCCAATATTGGCCTCAACTATTCGTCCAACTGTGGATCTAGAAAATGGCTTGGTCCCAACGTTGGGGCGAGTGTTGGTAGTTGGCCGGCTCGTGTCGGTTTCAAAGGAATCTGCGCCAACGCTCGCGATCTGTCCACACGTTGGCGCTTTGCTTAGTTCTGTTACAGTACGCAGCGAGTGCGTACGTCGAGCGAGAATGGCTTCCTCATCCACAAAATCGCCACGGCATGGACAAATGAAAAAGTAATAGAATTTATTGAACTTTATCAAACATCAATAATATGGGACCAACTCGAAAGGATCATAAAAATAAAAATTTAATATGATGCATCGCACCATTCAACAAAATATGGGAATAATTTCTCAATTGAAGATTTAAAAAAACGAGAATTTTGACTTTGACGTGGCTTTTTATTTTTCTCAGTAACAAATATAAATTGCACTCATCATTACTATAAAGCGCTCAGAGCAGTTTCGATTTCTGTATCGGAATTTCACATTGGCCCTGACGGGACAGAACTAGTTTATTACCAACGTGTTACGCCTCACCAGTTGCATCAAGTTGGTACAGGTTGGGACCCACATGGAGCCGGCGTAAACCTCGGCGTCGGCGTTTACATAATTCCAGCGAACTCGGCAAACGTGCGATTTCATACATTTTTAATCCAACACGATTCTTGAACATAAACACTCTATTTGATAGCTTTGAAATATGTTCAACATTAACAATATAACTCTATATCGTTAGGCAAGTAATACGTAAGATTTCAATTAACACTATTTTGTGCACAAATATTTGGGTCAAATGTTTCTATGACATTTTTTTCTGAATCTCATCCTAATATCAAAATTAGATTAGTTGTATCGTTTAATTTAAATGTTTATTCATTTTAGTTTTTAATTATAGTTTTAAACTTTAAATTACCGTATTAAGATTGCGTCAATATATCATGGTTAAATATGACATATCGGTTTGTGGCCTAGTTGGTGCAAACATATATATATGAAAGTTTTGGGTTCCATACTGGGTGAAACAATATTTGAGTAGAGTTGGAAGTCATAAGTCAATAAATAGAACGCAAATAGACGCAGAAGGGTATGCCAGGTCTTCAATAAAAATGGCGCAGTGTTTTTTGCCAGTTCTCAGCTTTTACTGGAACTGGTGGTAGTTTTTATTTAGATCTTCTTTTTTTAGATATTGACGTTCATACGTGTACATAGTTGCCAATATGAATAAATACATTTTGATTTTAATAAGATATTGTATCTAAACTCATTCAACTCATCAAATAACTATTATATATTATATATAATATAACTATTGTATAAATAATAGTATTATATATACTATTATATATATATTACTAACCTAAAGTCATGTCCACATGCAACATATTTTTAATATTCCATTTAAAAGATTAATAATTTTCGGTCATTTTAAAATCTCGTTTAAATAAACGTATACACAACCATTTATCTGTTTGAGAAATTATCACTCGGATTGCGTGATGAATCTCTCATGGTTTTTGCGAGTCGTATAAGTGTTGATTAATTGCCAATTCATGTTAAAAATATTATTTTTCGATTCATTTTTACTTTAATGAGTTGAGTGGGTATGTATGTATGTATATAGTGTGGACTAAGTTACCGCACTTAGACGCATTTGGTCCGTAGTGCGATAAGTCCTGGGTAATTAAGCCCATCTAGCTCCTTCCAGAAGCTCAAAAGTTTCCTGGAAATTTCACAGGTTCACGATGCGACCTCACTGCCCCGAGGATTTCTGTTTGTTGGGAAGACACAGCCATGCATTTCAGACTACATGGATGACTGAGCGCTGAAACAGCTTCTGCACAAGGAACTATCTGTCGCGCCTAATGCAAAGAGATGGTTGTCAAGACAGTGACCCGTAATTGTCCCTATCGTTGAAAAGACACATTATTTCCTTTGTATTATTAGTCATTGTCATATTTCAAATTCAAATTCAAAAATCATTTATTCACGTAGGTAACACAATGTACACTTGTGATTTGTCATTAAAGAAATACATATTAATGCTTCTAATTTTACATTTACTGCCACTTCTCAAATCAAGGGCGTAGAACGGAAGAGAAGAACTGGCAATAAACTCTCCGCCACTCTTTTTAATCGCCATGTTTTTTTTAGTATAGTATATATAATAGTAGGCTTCTATGCCAATCCAGAACAATTGTCCGGTACTCCAACCAGATTGGTTATATCTTACTAAGCTACTAGTTGCTTAGAGTCGAAGTATTTTTCTTTTTCTCATTAGTATAGATGATTACTTAAAGATGTCATGTGGAACATGGTGTAATTAATGCAGCTCCTTACAAACATTTTGTAAAACAAAGCTTGGCGATTATAAACAGTGGCGCAGAGTTCATTGCCATCTTCTCGTCCGTTCTGCGCCCTTGATTTGAGAACTGGCAGTAAATTTAAATTAGAAGCATTGAATATCTATTTCTTGACGTTCATAAGTGTACATTATGTCACCTAAACGAATAAATGATTTTGAATTTGATATATTTGTCCCATTGGTAATTTACGGGACTTGAAAATTCCATTTTTACTCTGTTAGTTTAGTAGCATTCAGTTGGATTCGAAACCTTTTTGCCGTCGGGTAAACATGAACATCACATTTCATTGACCCAGAAAAAGAACATGGAAAAAGTGAATTAACAAAATTTCTCTCGTAAAAAGCGTAAAGCGATTGTGTCGAGCCGACATTTCCTGACGTTTCTCACAAAGAAAATGCTATCTACCCTGAGGCTCATCTTCAAGCTAATACGTACTTTAAATTAAGGCATTAGGCTTGTTTATTGTATAAAACATTAAATTTGCATATTGTATCTTCTTTTGGAACATCAAAGACTTGCAGTCTTTGTAGTATATGAGAAATGGTTTTGGTAATTAATTAGGCAATGCATCGTGATACTTTCGAAAAATAATTAGCATTTTTGCTGAGTGAAATCGTATGTGACAGCCCAACTGCTAATTCAATAGGATTGTAGGGTCAGCAAAGTTTTTTTACATTTATTTTATATAAACATTAAACAATTATTTTATATCTATTTCTATTTAAACTTACGCGTAAAATGTTAATGGCAACGTTGATTATGAAAAATTCGACTTAACGTCATCGAAATGACACCGCTACTCAATCAATATAAACATATTATTTGTATACTTGTATAATCCAATTAGAAACTTTAATCATTCATACAAAACGATTGCCTGTTTTTAACGACAATTTTTATAGTAAATAAAATATTGTTAAACATTAACTGTGTGTTGGAATTTAAATTGAAGTAAAACTGAATGGATTTCGATTTAAGTAAGTTTTAGTTATATTTTTGATGTGATGAATCTAAGATTTATTTACCATTTTATTATTCACAGCCAAGGAACCAATACCGGACATTCCTGGAATTGATCTTTCAAATTATGTACGTGATCCATATTCATACAACCCTGTCGTATACATACATAAAAAGTTAGTACCTTATGCAAATACTGTTGCAAACCCTAAATTGACCACTACATCAGATAAATGCTTACAATTCAATCATGAAGAACATGAATCTGTGTTTAGAACTAAGCTGATAAATCCCAATAAAGATCCACTCGTCGAACAAACCATTAAATTCGCCAAGGACCTGATTCCTTTAACGATACCTCCAAATACCGAGGCCTCCCCCGATCCTCTTTATTTAATAAAAACAAAAAAATGCCAGAAAAGAAAGAAAACTGAATGCAATTGTGAACAAGAAACTAATGCAACATACCAAAAAACAAAAGACGTAACAGATCTTTCCAAATCTCGTAATTTATGTAGCGGCCGTGAATCATTTAGCCGTTCATCAAATAACAACACTTTAGATGACATACAAGAAAACAGATCTTTAAATTGCTCATCATCTGACTTATCAGAAAAAAGAAATGTAAAAAGGGAAAAATTCTTACATAAATGTAAACAAAACGATGTCCAAATGATTGCTTCAGAATCATTTGAAGCTTTAGCAGAAAATTTAAATTCCACCGGCGATGCTAAGATAAAAATACATCTTATGAATGAGAAAGACAAAAGCCTGCTCTGTGAAAGTATAAAAACGCCAGTAATTAAAGCCATACGAGAATGCATACAAGAGATACATAATACAGACGCAACAAACTTTGGTTGGCAAAATATGGTCGAGAATACATCGCAAAAAGTTGAAATAATTTTAGAGAAATTAGAAAAGATAGAGAAAAAATTGGAATCTTTTAATGACGGTACTAAGATGCCTAGAATATCGAAATTGGAAGAGTTGGAACAAGATGTAATAACAAGGGATAGCACATCTGAAGAGGAATTGGTACAAATACATCTAGCAAGAAAAACGAAAAGCAAGCTGGTTAGAACTTTAAGTCCAAATCAAGAGGAAACAGAGGAAGGTAGTAGTAGAAAGATGGATCGTGGAGAGATACCTAGTTGTTTTCAGTCTTCGTCTCAATTAAATATTAGACCTGAAAATCCTAGCCGCCTTCCAGCACGATTTTGTTGGACTGACGTTGGTAAATAGTTTTATACTTAATTTAATTTGAAGTATGTTTTATTTTGATGATATTTAGATTAACATGACGATGTAACGATGTATGAAATACATATACTATTTTTTTGTTTATTTTTTTTTTTGGAAAACCCATTCTATAATCCATAGAAGTAATTGTTAATTAAAAACCTAGGTAAAGGTTGTATTAATTTTTATTAAAAAGGCTTAACTTTTTACTAATTTTCTTGATAAAGATTGTTATATTATTCAAATACAAAAAGTTCAATAATGTATCACTTACTATAAACAGTATTTAAAAAAACTTAAACGGTCCTATCATATCTATATACTTGTACAAATCCTTTGTGAATGTTTGGCATCGCACGGCCATCCATCAATAGATATTATTTCAAAGCATTCCAGATATTCTATCAATTCTATTCACAGATCTATCAATTTTAAGAAGACCTAAACTAATGTTATAAATAACTGGAATATTTTCATACTATTATATTAAAGGCTGATAACCTCTTTGAAAACATTTATCAGATTAAGGTTATGCAGCTTTTCATTGATTTTGTAAGTAAACATAGATGTTTAATACATATACATCAAAAGTGATGGAGACAAACTATTATTTTCTTAGATGTCATTTGATAATATCATGCATAGTTTCATTTTTTACCCTGGTCCGGGGAAACAAACATTTCTATAAGAAAGACAATTTTGAAAGAAGATAACTTTTGCCTCAAGCCTTCGAGCTACTCTTTTACTAATCATATTATTTTTACAACTTTGAAACATATTTTTTAAACAATACATATCTTTCCTGCACATTAAGCACTTACATTCACTACAAGCTCTTTGTTTTATCCCTTTCATTTCCGCAATGATGGAAAGAGACAGTCCGGTATGCTACCCAAATGGACTACACAATGTGAGAACTTACGAGTCATCCCTTTCATACGATGTGATTAATTTTCCCTCGCTAAATCCACTAAGTAATTTGGAGCGCTCCCGGTTTGGGACTATGATTGATTCCCTAATCAAATTCTTAGATAGGATAAAAGTAATTTTAAATAAGGTATAAGTCCTGATAAAATAAAGAACGTCGTAGAGCGAAAACTAAATTATTATTTAATTAAATACATGTATTTAAACCTATTTAAAGCATTTTTAAAGCTCTAATGTCTCTATGTCTAATTCCTTTATTAAGAAATATTTTCTTAGATAAAATATGTGATATGTTGTGGCTCGTGAAATCTCCATAGTAATGTTACATATTTTAGTAATATTTTATTTAAGATAAATAAATTACGGTTTACCTATATTAAGATGAGTTTGCACTCGTTAAAAACAAGTAGAGGTCGAGGTATAAGATAGAAATATATGACTACTGACATTCCTAAATTGTTTATTATATTTTATGTACAACCTTATAATATATTACTAGCTGATCTGGCAAACGTCGTTTTGCCATGTATATCATTTATAATAAAAATAGGGGTTGGTCGTAGAGGGGTGAAAATTAGGGGTTGTATGTATTTTTTAATGTTGTATCAATTAAAAAATAAAAATTTGTCTAAAAATTAAAAAAATAAAATTAGGGGTGGACTACCCTTAACATTTAGCGGGATGAAAAATAGATGTTGTCCAATTCTCAGACATACCCAATATGCACACAAAATTTCATGAGAATCGGTCTAGTCGTTTCGGAGGAGTTTAACTACAAACACCGCGACACGAGAATTTTATATATTAGATATGCAATATTTAATCAAAATACACACTTAATATATATTTAAAACTCTTATACTTTTTCTACAACTCGCGTTTTTTGAGGAGCTTTATGAGGGGTACCGGTTGGTAGCTGTGTAAGGGAACATGCAGCACAAAATCTCATTACGAACAACACGCCTAAGTTCCTTTTATGACCAATTATATGAAATATTAAATAACCTGTTTATTTGGCATTCATTTTAATCAAATCGAAACCGCGATAACCGAAATTGGGTATGCCGAGCCCATAACGCTCACTTAACTGACGTGATTATGATCTATGACTTATTATTAAAGAAATAACTGGTAGAAAACTATACTGAACTTTTCCTCAATTTAAGGTAGGTTTTTAAGTATATAATACTATTTTGTTATTTGACAAGTAACCTAGTTTTCTAGTTTAGGTTAGTATGATTATTTATTTCTCGATAAATAGGGTTTTTGAGGACTGTTTTTGTTTTCTCTATTGATTATGAATATTATATGTTTAACATCGCTAAACAATGACCTTTTTCTTTTAGATTCAATAATAATAATATTCTTTCAGAAAAACATTTTTACTGTAAAATATTCCTTATCCAAATTTTCATTATTTGTGCAAGTCAAGTTCATGATCATACATTAAGTGTTAATATCTTATAAAGCTAATAAAAAACCTTTACAAGTGAACTATATTCTGATTTAAAAAATTATGTTTAAATCCGTACTCTAACGTGTTAACTGGGTTGGAAAACGTTTAAGCAAAAATCGCCTAACGAAGTCCGAACTTTAGTACAGTTTGTTCTAGAATTCCCAAGTTATCGGTAACTTTTATAGGTAGGTAGAATCAAACTTGTTATAGAAATGTTCAAAAACAACTTGATTTAGAAGTTTTATCTCGCTACAAACATGTCAGAGCGCAAAATTGCCGTGCCTTTGATATATTCCCTCATATGAATCTTAAAATGGCAATACGCCAAATCGTATAACTTCAAATTGCTAAATACGGCGAAATATTAAGGTGCATAAATATAATACGCATATTTAGCATTTGTGTATTATTAGTATTTTAGTACAATGGTTGCGGTTTTCCTCAAACAATTTAATATCATTAAAAGCAATTACCCAAATCAGTGGGTACAGTTTCTTAAAAAAATACGATATAAAATCAATGTAATTAAATTAAAAATAAATTTCATTTTCAAGTTACTCTAGAGCCTCTGAGGAAGTTAAAATTTACATAAATCAATTGGGTCTGCCGTATAGCTACTAATCGTGCTGTATTATACGTAAATCAAGACATATTTATAATTAATAGTTATAATAAATACTTAACAATAGATAATCCTACCTCATTATAGCTTCCATTATTGAAGCAAGCCTAGAACGTGCTTCATTATAATAATTTTAATATGGGTAATAAATTCATGCTTTTTTGTGCCGTGCTTTTTATACTTTGGGTGTTACTACTGTGATTGCTTTGCCTTCCCCTATTAACGCGTAAACACCGCGCAGGTGTTCTCAATTGCATAATAATGCACAAGCATATCATGCAGTTTTGGTAGTCGAATATATTACTATATTACATATTACTTATATAAAGCAAATTTGTATCTACCAGTTGTACTATACAGTTTTAAATCTCGATAATAATGTAGATTGAAAAAATCATACAATATGCACTTACCATTTATAAATATAAGCAAGCCGAAGCTTTAGTAGAAGCTGAAGAAGAAAAATAGAAAAGAAAAGATGCTTAGAAGAGGCAACAACTCACCAAAGTTTGAGCGGCAGACTGGTGCTGGAAAAATAGGCTTCAGTCAGTTAAGCCATTAAAGTGTCAAGGAAAAACGAAATCTTTGAACCACAGAGAAGATTAGTATACGTATAGACTATAGAGTGATAAGGCCTGGGCTTGAATAGAATCCTAAGTAACGACAATACAAGTTTAGGCGCGAACTAACCCTCCCATCTGTCAAATGATCATCGAATTTTGACAGATGAAGGCTTAATTCGAACATAATCTTGCCTTTGAATTTCAGCTGAAGAACACAAAGCTTATATCTAAAATTGTCAATGCGGTGGTCGTATTAAATAAATGAGGATGTCATTAATCTTGAATGATTTAATCGATTTGTTACAAGGCCTTAGCGCTCGTGATTAAAATACATCTTGATCGCTGTGAAAGATAAAAAGGAATTGTTTATAGGTTTGTAAAACTAAACCACGTGTAGCTTAAGAAAGAATTGAGCGTATTAGATAAAATGTAAGATACAATTTTGCGAATTAATTAATTAAAATACAATCAACATTGTTTTAAAGTATCATTATTTTGGAGGTTGGCTTTGTAAAAAGATAAAGTCAAATTAAATAATGTATTAGTATATCTCGAAATAAATCTGTTTAATTACAATACCATTTAATAAAATACTATTTTGTCTCTTTTGAAAAAAATAAACAGTGTTTACGCTGTAATGAAAAGACTTTAGTAGGCAAAAGGCCTTATTTTAAAAAGACAAGTTCGTACTAAATGTATAATCGAAATGTACGGTAACCTATTTTTAAGTACTATACAGAGCCACTTAATTTTATTCGCATTATTCACTGAAAAAAGTACTGGTAATTTCAGTTAAGAATCAGGGCATAGTTCAAGAACAAAGGGACCAAAATTCGAGAACACTCGAAATCTTTATAAATTACTGCGGACGTTCAATAGATTTTACTTCGCGATATCGCAGTCGTTGTACAAGTTCAACATTTTTTTACGATATAATCAATTCTGTGACCCTTTTTTTATTAATATTAATGTACCTAACATGAATAGAACTTTCATGTTATAAATAGGACATAGAAAAGTCGAAATACCTCTGCATTTGTACAGGAAGTTAATCAAAAATTAAATCTAATTCTTGGTAATTTTAATGTGTATTTCACGTATTCACTAAAAACAATACAATATTAATTATATGTCTGAAGTCTATGCAATAAACATAAAAGATATAGAAGTTACGGTCATCTTAGTATGTATATAAGTATATATAAACAACAAATAATAGACATAGTAGCTTCATTAAAAACTTCCGTATTGGCAACACGTCTTCTGTGAACTAAAAAATATAGACCGAAATTATCCTGTCATGTAGAATCTGGCTATCTTCCAAACGGTCCTGCGTACTTTCAATAACATTGGCCAAATGTTGAATTTATGCCCATTTGCAAGCTCGGCCACACTTAATAGCCGGTTGAGGCCAGAATCGATAACGAATTTATGTTTCAACTTTGACAAGGCGATGAGATTTGTTCTATAACGAAGTCACTTCTGTTTTCGTGACAGTTTTTGAATTGGCTGTGCACCACAGTGCCTAGGAAGTAATATAAAAATCGGAACAATGTTTTAGAGAATGAGACATATGACACTGGACATTTTTTTTTAATTTCTGGAAATAAATGTAGCGTTACTCGGGGATATTATAGAATTCTAATGATAACAGTTTTAAATCGGTCCAATAGTTCGTTATTATCACCAAGTAAAGACCAACTACATTTTTATTAAAAAAAAACATATAGATCTTGTAAACAGCAACACTAAAAAACAAGGGCGAGCGCAATTAATTACGATTTACTTCGACTAGCGATTTACACTCCTTACCGACTAAGTTCTGTATGGTCTGTATTTCTCATTGTCTCTGTTCAGAACAGAGGATTTTATTCTATTTTTAAATATCTGCCTTTTTACAGATAAAGTTGTCTTCGTGACATTTCAAATGTGTTTTTTATTCTCGCAAATGAAACGCAGCTTTTCATTAATTGCGAGATGACGTACCTACAAGCGCGCTTCAAATGTTATTTACATTTTAAGTTTTTATTACGTTTAATGATGTTCTTTCTAGTAGTGAATATTTTTATTGCATTCGATTTTATTAGTTTTGATAGAACTTATCAGTTTGACCAGTATGTTAGATATGAAGTGTTTAGGCGTAACAAGTAAATTTCGTAAATGTACAAAATGAGACGAACTTTCATATCAATATATGATTTATTTGAATGTGGTATATAGATATTTGGCAAACAATCTAAGTTTTAACAACATGCGTGTTAATAAATAAGGAGTTAATTTTTTTCCTGTCCAGTTGATAGGTTTGAAGGCAGGTTAGTTTTTTAATTATGTACTTACATTTTTATAAGGGCTTTTAAAAAGGTTTTCTAAAGTGTCTACTTGAATAAAACACGTCGAAAAAAAGGTTTAAATGGGCTAAAATTCATAAAAGTATAATGGTTTAATCACTTAGCACTTTTTGCACTAGCACGGAACCTAAACCATCGTTGCATCCTTAAGCGTACCAATTCTTAAAGGCCGGCAATACCCTCTTAGGCTCTCAGGCATTGAAAGTGTCCATGGGCAGCGGATTTAATAGCAGGTAAGCCTCTATCGTATTATATACTATATCGTATTATTGACGTAACTACATAGTTAATTCAACGTAATTGAATCCTACGGTACCTTTTTATAAGTGCGAATATTTATCCAAACAGCCATCAATTTATTAAAAATAACGTCGCTTATTAATTAAGTAAAATATTTTTTAAAAATCTCGTCACCTGAGTTAATCCGTGTTAAGCCGTACTATACATCATTTTAATAGCTTGGCTATTACGCCCAGGCTTAAGCCATTACCCTATTACGCTACGTAACCAACGCTACGGCGTAGGCTCGTAGAACCACGTAGCCACGAAGATTCGTAGTGACCTTAATGTGCAAAATTTATTTATTTAACGCTTTTCAAACGTTTAATATCTTTATAATTATAGCAAGAGCTAAATGTGAATTTAAAACGCTAGCATCTGGAATAATTTGGTTTAATATGACTAAAGATATGGATGGATACTTTAAAAAATAAATTTTGTAATTCTAAGTAATTCATACCCTATTATAGTGTGTACATGCACATACGCGCTACTCGTATAAAAATGTGAGTATTTATCTAATATTCCAAAAAAAATATTTTATAACGCACCCAATCTTGGGCACTTTGCGTATTAATATTGATGATTGTAAGTTTTATAAACTAATATGGGCGTACCCTGAACCGTAAAAGGTACCTCTTTAACCACTTCAATAAAAGTATGGGACATTAATCAGTTGAATGCAAAATACCCATGTGATCACGTTAACGTTATGTAAGAGGCAAGACAGGGCGTAGTAGTAGCCATAACAACGCATAACAAACACCCCTTATAATATAAACACCTCTATGGTAATTTGTTACTCTATTATTTATTATTATAGTTCAAAGATCAGATATATATGTTAGTAGTTTTATGCCGTCAATAGATTAATATTGTAGGGCTGCGTGAGATTAAAGGCAATCGTTGAATTACATATGCTAATAGCTATAATACTAAATAACAATGATAACACGACATCGATCTAAATAGCCACTAAACATGAAAGGCTTCTTCAGGCTCTAATCTTTTCCTAATTTGGATTACAACAGTACAATAAAAGCGCATGAACATGTAATTGTATCGAACGTTCATGACAACTATTATTGGACCAATTGGGAGGTGCATGCGGGGCTGTGCGGGCGAGCTCACCGTGGGCATCAGCTGATCTGTACTCCTGACCCTCGTCACCTTGTTCTTATATATCAGCTTCTTCAGCGCCTTCTCCACCGGCTGGTTCCATCGCATGAATAACACGTACGCTCCATACAACGAGAAAAGCACCAACGCTTCTTGCCAGTAGATTTCATTATCACGGAAACAGTATATCAACACGAGGAGGCTGATCGAATAGAAGGTGCAGTCGCGGAACAACGGCCACCAAGTTAGGGTAAGTGTAGTGCGCGAAAAGAGCGCACAAGCACCAATTACAAAGAGAATATTAAAGACCGCGGATCCAACAATCGTCCCGATTCCGACGTCGTCAAAAGAAACGAACACTCCAATGATAGAGGTGAAAAGTTCGGGCGCGGAGCCTCCGGCTGCCATGAACGTAGCACCGGCGACATCGTCGCGGATCGCGAGCCTCTCAATTATCACGTCTAACGCTGGCACGAAAAACTCGTCGCATACTATGGCCAGAGCAACGAACATGTAGCCCATGCCAATGATGTGGAAGATGACAGCTCCAGAACGTCGCTGCTCTTCGGTGAAGAGGTCAGTGGGAAAAAGAGGAGCTTTCTCCTCATCAGGAAATGAGGTGGTGGTGAGGTTAGTCTCATTTGCCCGCGCCGCCGCTAGCAGCGCCAGCAGCAGCGCGCCTCCCATGCCGCGCGGACGGCCGCTCCGACCACACTGAAGATACTTCGTACGCGATTTCAGTCACTAGGGAGGAGATTTGATACAGGAATCGAGTTTAGTATCGATGTTTAAATAGCACTAGCGTGAATGATGAGAATAGAAACAATAATTTAATGAAATCTTAGTCTATGACCAATTCACCTTAGATTTAACCTTTTTTATATTAAAATATTTCAACTTATATTAAATAATCGTATATTAAAGTCCCTTATATTTAAATCAAATTAAATGTATATTTAACTTTATTACTTTAGATAAAATTAATGCCTAGTAAATAAATTGATGTTTATTCTTGTTAGTTGTACACTAATTGTGTTATAAATATACTGATTTCCGGGCTGTTCGTATTCAACGCTACACAACCTACTATCGAAGCGAAAATTTGTCTATGGTTCCATAGACAACAATCGATTATAAAAACATCGACACATCGATTGGTCCCCTCTCTAGTCCGCACCCAGGCACCGCTCGATAGACCTGCACTGCGCCGCGCCGTCGCTGCCCGTTCGCTTCAGAACTGCATGCCTATTATATCAGCTTTCTTCTATTTATACCTGTACTTCTTAGACTGTGCATCTATAGATATTCATAGATTTTTTGCAGCCTCTTTAATTTATTCCAGCTTTTAAGTCTAAATAACCCAGGGGATTTAAACCTTTTTCATTAGCTGTTCATTCAAATGCTTAAATATATTCCGTTATTATTAAGTTCTTTTAAATAATTTTATTCGTACGAGTTGTAATATATTTTTTGTTATTATTTAGTCGGTTTTTTTACAAATATAATCATCGTTTGTGGTACAGAACATTAATTTTAAATCTTTTATAAATTACTAGCTGGCCTGGCGAACATCGTACCGCCTAACAGTCGATTCTTTATTTTTTTTAAATACTTATTCTGCTATTCGGGACACCGGTCTAGCTAGTAAGATAAAAAAGTTGATAAGACAACAAATACATTATGACAAAAAATAAAAATTTACCTTCCCGGAACCCCTCCACTAACATTTGAACTTTATGATATGGTATTAAAGTTCAAATTGACTTTTAAGTATTATTACGAATATTTTGTATGGGAATATAGAGAAGTGTTGTTTTTAGACTTTTTCATTCAATTTTTTTTAATTTTTCTCTCCGTAAGAACCATCCTTGTACTTCAAGGAATATTATAAAATAAAAAAATCGGACAAATCGGTCAAGCCATTTTCATGTTATGTCGTGACAACGGAAAACGGGTTTCATTTTTATATATATACTATGACCCCACAGACGTTGTCCCGCCATGATATTTAAAGCGATAGGATATTAAGCAAAGTATGAAAGTACCGACTAGTGCCTCTGCCGGGCTGATTTGTGAATCTAAACCATTCCCAATCCCCTGAACACCACAAAAATTTCATCAAAATCGGTCCAGTCGTTTGAGAGAAGTTCAGTGACATACACACTCACAGATGAATTATATATATAAAAATATAGATTTTACATAGCACATTGAATTTTAAAAATATTGCCGGCCATGTTGTATTAGAATTGCGTATATGATTGGGAAGTGAGAAGCTCGAATTTATTATTACATTAACTTGGTTTTTCATTCGTCGGCGAGTGACCAAATAGTATTGTTTATAAGTTTGTTGACTATATTTTATAGCTGTTCTATATTGTAACCCAATGTTATTATATTAGTAACATCGTATGTAATAAATATTTATGTATCATCTTTATTGACAGAGTTGAACTCGCGGAAGCCACAAGCAATATTAGGAAAGAAGCTACTCCTTGGAAGTAACATATACTGCTTAAAAAAACGCCACTATACTGATGCGTTTAAAATACAATTACTTAGATATTTTATAACAATTTTAACAGATTTTTTTTATATTAGTATACAATGCATTAACATAACACTAGGTACTTATTTTGTTCATGATCTTAAACGGTTAGATGGATTATAACCTCAGGGTTGTCGTTTGCCTTTCGTTTATGATATAAATTATTACGGTTATAAAATTTATTGCTCACATAAGAGCTTTATTGGATATTATAATGTCATATTTTAATAACCAAAATGTGTTTTTACTTTTCATTTTTATCCTACAACCGTGTTTTGTCTGTGTTCTGGCTGTTCTTACTTAAAGCCCGGAGTTTTCTTCCCCACGAGACAATTATTTATCGGGTTCTAAACAATTACCATAGCATTAATACATAAATGTATTTGGTCTATGTATTGTGACAAGAGTACTTAGAAATTTTGAACTGATAAAAAAATCGTTCCTGATCCTACTACTAAATACGATTTCTTAATTATGTAAATTCAAAACCACACTTTTCTCGAACAAGTTTCTTCCTGCAGATACATAACGCAGTGTTAAAGGTGATGGTTTAGCTAAAAAAGTACTCTATGATTTATTTAGTGTTTTCTTCTAAGCATTTTTAGTAACACGTTTTAGTCATTCGGAAAAGAAAGCTGTTATATAGAACAGTGCTGGCTTAGTAACATATAACACTCCACCGTGGGGTCGACGGGGGTTCAACCCCGGCTGTGCAGCAACGGACTTTGTCTATGTGCGTATTTAACACTTGCTCGTACACTAACGAAAAACATCGTAAAGAATGACCCAATATGTCGACGGCGTATGTCAGGCACAAAAGATTGATCACCTACAAGCCTATTGGAAAAATTATTGATCAGGATTACAGATACAGAAATCTGAGGCCCTGGCCTAAAAGGTTGTAGCGCCATTTTCATACTGATATAGATAGTATATGCATCTCGTTTTTCCATACAATTAACGGGTAGAGAGTGCTGTTTGTATTGTTTTGCTCGGTTTTAATGAGATACGCGCGGTTTACCTCACAGCTGCTCTATAGGTGAATACGTAATTAAAATTTTATTAATTCAGGTTATAGAGGTGAATGGTATGTTTATATATAATAAAAGTCGAAAAATATTTGCAGAAATTATATTCTTGTTAAAACGAGTCCAATGAGAACGTTAAAAGACGAAACGAGAGGTCGTTTCGTTCGATTGTAGATAATTGATCAAACTGAATACGAATTGTGTCGCATGTGTGTGGTAGAAGTATAGACCAATAGATCAATAGTTATTTGATTTATATTTTTGTATGTGTAATTAACAATTACAGAGCATGTTAATCCAGTGAGGAAACTAAAACTTATTCTGCTCTTACTAGATAGGAATAAATTGATTTTAAATATACACAGACTTTAAAGTGTCTCTGTTTTACTGTTTAACCTGAAATTTTTAATATAACACAAGTTGTTTTGTATTCCATGCTATACGTTGTATGTAGCAATATTATCCAAAGGACAGCAGAGTAATACTTATTTTTTCTTAAACAAGAATCTAATAATTTGGCTTTAACCAATGTACAATAAAGTAAAAGATTAACAAGCAGGGATCTGCAACTATCCCGTTGTTTTAATATGGATTACGATTGTAAGATTGAGTTTTAGCGACACATATTAAAAGATTGTAATTGAATGTCAGTAGAAATTGTTACACAACTAGAATATAATCAACTCATCATAATTGGAAATCGGTATAAATAATTAATAATAAATTTATTAGTGTTATGAGCTATCATAAGGTTCATTGTAAATGTATTTATGTGCATGAATAAACTGGTACGCTGCCTCTAATTTGAATAGGTCTTTTTTGTTTCTTTCGATTAGGCGTAGGTATGTTATTATAAAACGAAAACACTTAAGTGCACATTGTCATATGGTAAGCGTTTTCTAAAGCTAAGCCGCAACTAAGTCCCGTACCATAGAGTTATTTACAAGGCTTTTTGATCCAACTTCAGGTATAACTTCCCAAAAGAGAGTTTTTACTTTTTAGATAATGCGCCTTTATACCGCACGGCGCACCAACAAGCCAATGTCAAAATAAAGATTTTACAATCTTCCACAGATCAAGTAGAGACAAACGATCTTTATAATGCATGATACATAGACTATGATTACAGTAATAATGCTTATCAAACCCAGGGGCCTTAAAGAACAGAAAAAAAAATTTTTTTAAAAACTTTTCCCCCCCATTTCATACAAATTTAGTTTTCGACTTTCTACATACACTACTGTTAAGGCATCTTGACTAACCCCCTGTTATATTAAATGCAACATTTACCACAGAGTATAGACGCCATTGTGTGTTATGATTTAAAATTTCGTGAAATAGCAATGTTATACATATTTAAAGTAAATTTTAAAAACTGGTAAATTGTGCGATGGAAAGTTTATTATTGCGATTGAATTACATTTCATATGCGTAGTTACGAATGTGCACGGATCCAGCCGTTGTGCAATTTGAGCGCTAAAGTACCGTATTACGTAGTATTCGATGGTAGATACTATACGAGTATAGTGCATAAAAGAGACCGACGCCACACAGGTTTACAGAGAAAAAAGCCGGAGTGTCGGTCTTAGTTGTTGGTTAAAATCTCTCAATTTAAAAGGAATGATCAAATCGCTTGTTATAAACTCGTTCTATGCGCTGAGTACTTACCGTTACCTCTTAAGAGGCCTTTACTAGAATAATTGATTGAAAACTGGAATTCCGTTCTCGACGGATACTTTTTTGGAGACTAATTTAAATTATATTGATTGAAATCTTATTTACATCAACAATGCATATAAAACGTAAACGTATATAATTTATTAATGGGCTATACCTTACAAACCGCTTCTGTCACAGACTTCAGAAAAACAAACCGTTTATATAGCTCTAAAAATACTTTGGCTATGTCAAAAGACATAGAATAATAATTTTATATATACTCTAGGCAGGTAGAGACTAGAGAGTAGAGACAAGAGTGTCATTGACCGAGTTAAAATATCACGATTTACGAGTAAGGTTTCGTGTAATTGGATTATTGTATTAAAAATTGGTTTTATGAATTAATTTCATTACTAAGACACCTGCACCAGTCTTCAAAATGTGGCTCGATCAAGCAGATGGATTTGATGAGATATTTAAAGGATATTTGCCATATTATTTACTAGTAATGTTTCCAATTTTGATTATAATGTCTCCGGTCAATCCTGTTGCGGCTTCTCATGAATTTTCCGTCTATAGAATGCAACAATACGATCTTCACACAGTGCCCCATGGTAAGAAAATTGATTTAAATGTAATTGTAGCATTTTTATTATACCCTTATATTGAAGGTTATGTCATAATTATAATGAATAATAATTGAGCGGTGCCTTTTCTGTTCAATAATTTAAATAGAAGTTTTAGAAAAATATATAACTTACATTAAGACTTGTCATTGCAAACCTTATCTTTACAATTTACTCAGATAATTTAGGACAAGTTTGCACTAGATAACATTATCAGATGCTTTATTAAGATGAAGAAATGTAAAGGTCTTTATAGTTAAAGGCTTAGTCTACTCAGTAAACTAAACAAATATTTTATAGACCTTAGATGTTGTCAATAAATGCTGTAGAATGTAGATGTATAAAAGTATGTAATTGATATAAATGATTAGCTTTACTATACAATTTATCCATAAATTTATAATTTTTACAGGCCTAATTTAATATAATTTTGTAACTTGTTAAACATTTACTTGCTATCATTTAAATAAAAACACAATTATTCAAGGATGTCGTAGTGCAAGCTTCAACCTGGAAGGCCGATCCCTCACTTCATGGAGTACTTCTCGTCATTGTGTGGTAGCAAGAATCCAAGACATCACAATTGAGCAGTTTATTGACATCAGAAGCAAAGCTGGTGCTCTCTTGCTTGTGCTTCCTAAAAATGATACTGTTTTGACTGATGATGAGAGAGAGGTTAGTATATTTTATTATAGATTTATTTTACAAAAAATTTAGGGTTAGGGCAAACTTTTTAAGATATATTCACCACTTTACCATGAACCTATATCATTGGTCTACAATGTTATATTGTGCTTTACATATTCCTAATTTATTGGTTAGATAAGATTCACAGTTGAATTTAGAGCTAAATATGATTCTAATATATTAAAGTTGTATTTTGTGCTTAATTTCAACTCTAAATCTCACTCTTAAGGTGTTCTGAAGATATCTGCTTTATCTTTATATATATAATTCTTCTGTGAGTGTGTATGTCACTGAACTTCTCTCAAACGACTGGACCGATTTTGATGAAATTTTTTGTGTGTGTTCAAGGGGATCTGGGAATGGTTTAGATTCACAAATCAGCCCGGCAGATGGCACTGCAGTCGGTACTTTCATACTTTGCTTAATATCCTAATCGCTTTAAATATCATGCAGGACAATGTCTGTGGGGTCCACTAGTGTTCCTATAAATCTTGAATTATAAAAAGGTTCACCATTTTATAATTACTTTGTGTCAGATCTGTATAATCTAGCACACTGAACAATAGTAAAATTTTAGTTTAAGATCATCCTGGAGATAATTTAATAAAAATTCTGAGTATCAAGGACTCACCCAATTATAAAAAAAAAATCATTAAAATATATGTACTAGTGGAAACCAGAGGCATCAGAAATAATATTCAAAAGAAAAAAATTCTAACTATAGCTGCCCTATCTCAAAAATTTCATTTCAATATAGATTTTAACAGATAGGTGTCATACTCAGTGCCAATTCCTGATTTAAATTTTCAATATAAATGGAATAATATTTAACTGATAACAAAAGTACATCTGCAAATTTCATTATATTATTTAACTATTATTTTCAGCACATTTATCTACTAGAAGCAGTTATGGCTCAACAAGAGATTAACTTGCCAGTATACTTTGCCGAGTGGACTTCGGACTTTGAGTATATAATCAAAGACTTACAACATAGCTTTATAACTGATGAAAAATCTGGAACTGCACTTGAAGCAATGTTTAATACTGTATCATCTAATGGATATCAGATAGGTAAATCAAGTGAACTGGTTAATTAATGGGTTATTGTGACATATAAATCTGAAATAATACTTTTAAAAAATATTGATTATTTTGACAAAAATTTGTTAATTGTGTAACTATCCATAGAAAACCTACTTCCTCCACAGTCATACTTTTGCATCTGTTTTAACATAGATTTAAACCATTTTTGATTTCATGTTTAACGCCACAAATGTATAAGAGACAGCTTTATAAATTTATAAATAGCAGTTATTATTAGTAATTAAGGCTTTTATTATATTATTTATTTAACTTTTTATTCAGATCTGGGTTAAGGTCAAGGGATCTCTCACTACTCATTACGGGTACTCCATTTCCAATAATGGTTGGAATATCAATGTGTTGATACCACTGAGCTTCTCTCATGATAATGCTTTTATTTATTTCAGACTTAATATGTATTGTGTGACTTTTCGGACACCAGGTTCATTTATATTTTATTGAAAAAATTATAATGTCATTTTCAGTTGTGTCAACATCAGCTGTGCAGAAATTAGACTCAAAACCAACAACACTGCATGGAAAGTTAGTTGGCCGAGCTCTGTCTTCCCAAACTATTGTGATTGCTGCTCATTATGATGCATCTAGTGTTGTTCCAGTGAGTAATTACTATACAATATACGTGTTTTGGCTTTGATGAAACTATGTAATTAAGACAAATATAATTATTATGGTGTTCTTAAAAAAATCATAAAATATTTTATTCCTAATCAAACCTACTTTTAAAACTATACATAATGTTGAAAATTTACAATGCCTGTATCTCAGAAACTACTTTGTGTCTCGCCATATTGTTAACGGTGAAAAATATAAATCATAGTTACGTACAATTAAACGCATTATTTGTCTATAGAATATAATGTACCAACTGTCAAACTGAGAAATGGCATTTGACGGAACGCATCGCACGCCAAATATTTGTTTTTTATTTGCTTATAAAAAAAAACATGTTTCAGGAGTTATCCTTCGGCGCTGATTCCAACGCATCGGGAGTCGTCGCACTACTGGAATTAGCACGCGTTTTTTCACGTCTATACGGCAGTGCTGCAGTGCGCGGTGGTCCCTCCATTCTCTTTGTGTTGGTGTCAACTGGACATTCTCTTAATTATTTTACGACAAAGAAATGGCTTGAAGAGCACTTGGACACAGCTGATTCTTCGTTATTGCAGGTATAATAGTTTTTTTTTTAAATTAATAATATTCTGCATTTGTATAAACGACTTACTACTAATGCTTAATACTTTATTAAAAGTTCATCTTTGAAATTCATAGATGAAAAACCACACATTCGATTATATCCATTTGCAAATGAAAGCTCAAAAGCTTTAAAGCTCTTTTAAATTATTCTGAAACAAGAACTTCGATTTATGCGTTTAGTGATGTTTATGAAACCTAAAGTGTATTTCCGAATCCGTGTGGATGGAACTACGCATCTGAAATTTTAATAAAATAAATTTTTTTATTTCGTATTGTTAAGTGGCAATATATTAAAACTGTGTTTGAAATACTCTTAATAATTTAAAAAAAAAGTGCGTGCGTACAAAGTACACATGTCAGAAGTAAAACTTCTTTGTCAAACAAATTTTTAAGTCTTGTTCATATTTATACAATAAAACACGTGGCATTTTAATTTACAATTCGTCATTTGAGATTTGAATAAATTATTTTGCATAAAATATAAAATACTAATATTTCATAAATTCTCTTTACCAATTATAATTTTAAAAATAGATTTACTATAAGGTCCTTATACCTTCTCACTCTTTCTCAATCGGTCTCAATAGCTCTCTCCCTTTTCTTCGAGAAAAACGCTGCACATCTTCGTGACGCTAATATTATTATTATTGCGTTTCATCCGAAAAAAATTTACCCTCATGCGCCTAAAGATGTTTCACTTAAAAAAATAACCAACCACCAACTTAATACCCATATCTTAAAACGACTGAACTGATTTTGATAAAATTTTCCTTTCGGGAAAGATATTTTTGGACACAATATACAGTTAAAAATGGAAATTTCTTACATTTTTCAGGATGTTTCATTTGTAATGTGCCTCGACTCAATATCTTCCGGTCCACTAACAATGCACGTGTCTAAACCGCCTAAACCCGGCACCGCGGCACATTCGATCAAGTCTCGTCTATCAGCGCCCTTCGTTCACAAGAAGATCAACCTGGCTGACGAATTACTCGCCTGGCATCACGAACGATTCAGTATTAGACGGATGACCGCCTTCACATTAAGTTCTTTGCAGGTATGTTATGGCTTTATCTAGTTTTATGACTAAAACTAACTTAACTAAAACTTAACTTTTAAATAAACCAAGCCTCGCAACGAACAAAAAAGGGTGCATGTATTTACGTACGCGCTAAGAAGTTATACTTCTTTGGCATTATTAAAAATAGTTTTTGATTGCATGCAAATAATTAATTACAATAAATAAATAATCAAAGACTGGAAAAGGAGTCATTATAGTCAATAAAGTTCAGTTTACATTTGAAAAATTAAATTATTCTCTTACATTAAGTGTAAGATAAATTATATTATTATTCGAATGTTGTTTTCACATTATGTCCAATGCCGTAGCATCTTCCGTGGGCTGAACTTCATTCTGTTAATTTTGTGTCACGGTGCGCGCTCATCGTAAAATTTCACTCTCATCAATTTTTCATAACGCGCCTAAAGAAGTATAACTTCAAAAAGAACTATCTTTTACCGTAAAAAGTTGTAAGATCCATGTCGGTCAATTTATTGAATCCCTACTTAAGGTACCTTTTCCCTTAAGTTATTACGTAATTGGCTAACTAAAAACATCTTATAGTGACTATATCAATATTACAAATCTTTTATGTTTTAAATATAAACATGGATTTGGCCATTGCATAAAAACAATATATCTCACAAAAAAATATATATTTGATTGTTTAAGGCAATTCCCAAGCAAGTCAGTTGTCACTTGTCAGTGTCAGTGCCGACACCGGCTATCACGGACCGATTCGTTGACATCAATATTTTTTGTCGGATCACTGACGCCGCGTTATTATTTGTTACATTTTGTTTATTGCAGAAGAATATTGAAACAGCTTTCTGACATTTTAAAATATTCAAAATATTTTAATTTTTTAATCGACGGCTCATTGGTCTAGTCCCGGGTTCGGTCCTCGGCTGAGACAAACATCGATGTGATGAGCATTTGGTGTTGTGCTTAGGTCTTGGGTGTTTAAATATGTATTTATATGTGTTCTATCTATGTATAATATGTATGTATATCCGTTGCCTAGTACCCATAACACAAGCTTCACCAGCTTAGCATGGGACTAGGTCAATTGGTGTGATTTGTCCAATAAAATAAAAATAAAAACATTCTTTCATCGTTAATTAATTCCTTGAATTCTCCTTCCGTCTCTCTTAATTGCCATGCTTCATGCACCCATTTTCTTTTTTTTCCTTGCTCTTCTTCGTCTAAAGCAGTAGCTATCGTTGCTCCGTAGTATTGAACAAAGCCTCAAGTGATAATCACGTTACTTGACGAAGGACAAGTGTTCACTGAAGCTCCGTAAACTGAGTACTGACAATAATTAATTAATTCAAATTTTGCAAATCGTTTAAGATCGCTGAAACCTTCTAACTTACCACGGAAACCATATCTCGTTGTACTGAATAAATCGTATAGAAAGACAATATGAACGGACAGGTCTTAAAACTAGATTTAAGCATGATATTCAAGAAAACGGTCCTTAAAAATATATGACTTATTAACTAAAGTCATCTGTAATGTCTGTTTGAGATGAAGGAGTTCTTTAGTATTGAAATGGGATATTTTTGAAGTTATACTTCTTTAGGCGCGTTATGAAAAATTTATGAGTGAAATTTTACGATACGCGCGCACAGTGACACAAAATTATCAGTATGGGCGCCGAGCGTGTGCGAGCGAGATGGGAATAAGACAATCTACAAGTAAAAAGAAATAGAATATGCGTGACGTTAGCAGCTATGCCTAGAATTTTGAATGACCATAATGACATTTGTAGTACCTTTTAAACAAATAAAGGAGTTTTAATTATTTTTTCAAAGAAATTTAGCAATGCTTTTTCACAAAGACCTATTGTTACTTAGTTAAAAGGTTATGAAACATACTCTAGTTATTAAATTGAATTAATAATATAATAAAATAATAAATAATTATTATTATTAATATTAATTAATAATTGAATAATATACTAAATATTAAATATTGTTACTATTAATTATTTAATATTTAAAAAAAATAAATAAAGAAAGCCAAAGAAAAAAGTATACCATATCTCGCTCCCCTTACGCGCGTACATAAGTACACGCAGCACCATTTTTTTTTGTATGATGGTCTTTTTAGGCTTCCAAATACAAGTACATATATAAGAAATATCTGGTAGACTAAAATTCGTATCCATGTACATTCCAAATTTCATTGAAATCGGTTTAGTAGCTTTTGCCGTATAGAAACATTTTTGGACAATTATTAGGTACATAATTTGGTTTTTATTAATTGATAAATTATTTTTTTTCCAGAGTCACAAGGAGGCACGTAAGTCATCCCTTCTAGACAAGTACCGGGAAACATCTATGGACACATTAGTAGAAAATATACGGACTACGGCGCGTGCGCTGGCCTCTCACGTATATGACGTCACGAATGAAACTAGTGGGGAGGACTCGGCCATGTTTGATGAGGCTTTGGTATGTTTTTACATAAATTTACAAATAAGTATATATGTTACAACAATATAAAAAATGTGCACAGCGCTGAAGCCACTGACTCGCATTTCTGAGGTCGTAGGTTCGATCCCCGGCTGTGCACCAATGGACTTTCTTTCTATGTGCGCATTTAACATTTGCTCGAAGGAAAACATCCTGAGTAAACTGGCTTGCCTTAGACCCAAAAAGTCGAAGACGGGAGGCTCATCAACTCGCCTATTAGTTTGAGAAATGAGATTTATTTACTATTTTTTATATAAAAAAATATATATATGAATTATTCGCATCCATGTTTTGTAAAATGACCAACGAAAATAACCAAATACGCTACAGAATACATGACAGATACCATTATATAAAAAAAAAATTATCCACGGGTTCGATTTCCAGCCAAACAAATTTTTTTTAAATTTTCCTGGTTTAAAATATTTTTTTTTCAGTTCATATGGACCAAATTAAAAAAAAAATATATTTTCAGAACGTAGATGAAGCTTCAGTGCGCAGTTGGTACAAATACTTATCGTCGCAGGCGCGGGCGCCACATATGCTCACTGCTAGTACTGGAGGTCAGTAAATCTGAAAATTATTGCTTCATTATTTGAGATCGAATCTATAGACCTTTATAAAATTAGATTAACATTAACCGAAATAACGAAAAAACTTAAAAACTAGAAAAATTTAAATGGTACCTACAATAGGCAATATATGTTTCCAATTTTAGGTGCTTGGAAAAGAAAATACCGCCCCTTGCACAATACAGTTAATTCCGTATTTTAATTTCGCAATCGTTATTATAAAAAAAATTGGATGTGGATGTGTGTATATTTTAACGACTGATGATTGAAACTTAATCGAATATCAGCTTTTCCGAGTCAAAAGTTATACTAATTGCAAATCTCCTAACTCAGCAAAATAACCTCAAAATTGCGCTTTCCCCTCCAATGCACGCGATGCCTCATTGTCCCCGCTAATCGTAATTAATTCTTTAATGCATTTAAGCTGTCCAGTGGTTAATTGTGTTACCATTAGGCTTTTCGATTGCCCCCGTAGGGTGGGAAATTTAAGGACGTATTTACGTTAAAATATTTGAATTACGAACGTCGATTCTATCATGACACAGATTATAGACTAATACGTGTATTAGTTAACGTAATAGAAAAATTTCATGTCTGTAATACGAATGCCAAACCTGGATTTTTAACAAGGCGTTAATAAAAAAGATTGCAGTATGCCAAAGGGCTATGGAGCGCTCCATTATTCAATTGAAACTTAAAGACAAAATAAAAAACAAGGTGATAAGAAGTCGTACAAAAATAAAAGATGTAACTTATACAAAAAGGCTAAATTGGAAAAGGGCCGGTCACATTGGCCGTATTTGTGATGGCAGATGGGTCAAAAAGACCCTTAGGGAAGGGCCCAGTGGGAAGGAGAAAGAGAGGATGCCCACAAAACTTGGGAAGATGAAATAAAAGGGATAGTGGGAAAAAACTGGAAAATTGTCGCAACAAATAGGGATAAGTGGAAGAATCTGGAGGAGGCCTTCACTCCATCGGAGGTCGAGTACAAGTGTAAAACTTAAAAGACATGGACTTACTGTAGTTTAGTGTACTCGAATAAAGGCTATTTTTATTTTATTTTATAATAGAAAAATTATGATGGATTTTTTAATGGATAAATTATGTTAAGTATTAATAGGTATAATTTTTCGCTATATGAAATTAAAGTTTTTTAAGATAAATTTCACCATTTAATTTCTGAATTACCACGTTAGCAAAATATACATTGTACGTATTGCGTAACGAAGCGTAAGTGATTTAATAAGTGTCATAACAAAAATCTTATATATATATAGAAAAACAACAACCCTTACTCGTAACGACCAATCAGGAGTCAGAGCGCGTGCGCAAGTATCGATAGCGGGTTGCATTGCGTACTCATTCCTACTGTTTTAAGGAAATTAGATTATTAGTATTTTTAAGTAAAGTTTTTTTTACATGATTTATATAGTTGTATGTATGTTACAATCACAGGTGTGAACGCTGCATTGGAAAGAGCAATGTCTCGTTACATGGAGGTCACAAGTTCGATTCACGTTGTTGATAAAAGGGAACCCGAGTACACATTGTACGGACCAACCAAAGCTGTATTATTTGTTTACAGGTGAGTAGTATACAACAAACATTTTTAATATTACCATATGATTGTTATATCTATCTAAGAATCTATCTTTATATGAAGGTTAAAAGGCCGGCAACTCACTCACTCACTCGCATTGAGTGTCCATGGGCGGCGGTATTACTTAACATCGGATGAGCCTCCGGTTTGCCCCCTATTCTACAAAAAAATGTGATGTTAAAACCTAGGTCCGGTTGAAATCATATAAACGTTTTTTAGCCTCAAATATTGTATAAGGTATATATAATGTTTATTTATATGTTGCTTTGAATAAGACTAAAATTTTCTTTTTCAGTGTAAAACCAGCAGTGTTCGATCTCATTCTCACATTGGCGATAATCGCCTATCTATCTCTAGTCTATTTTGCGATACAAATATTCCCGCGATTCTATACGGAATACGCAAAAGTTGTTACTGGTAAGGAGAAAGTGTACTAAGTCTTAAGGCCTGTTTAGTTCAGTATTGGCACCGCAAGCGTGCTTCAAATAAAACGCGCAGTGTAAAACAATAGAAAACATTTCAATATAAAATGTTGACAATTGACAGCTAACATTCATAAAAGTAATGTCGTATTACTCTTTTTTAACTAAAGTACTACTGTCTTTAAATTGCGTAAAAAAAATTGACAGAAAGAGACAAAAGACTACTGAAGTATTAGATTCTGTAAACTCAAATATTTGAATCATTTAAACATTTTACATTCAAATTGTGATCAAACTCACACTAAAAAATTTAATAATAAAACATAAATTAATAAGGTTTAATTATAAATTGAAGCAATACTGTGTTCATATACGCGCGACCAATTGAACTAAGGGGATGGCCGATTTTTTTTTAACACCATAGACAAATAATAGAGGTAAATCTATTTATCTGCCACCAATGATAATGGTGGCAAACAAGCTTTGTCCTGCTCATACAAATGAATATTACATGCAATGTCTGATTATTTAAAATTCCTATGATTCTTTATTGTTAGTCTTTGGTCTACTGGCAATGCTATCAACAAAGATTTGTGATTTAACCAAAAACTTTTTTAAAACGAGTTCGATATTAAGGCGGGAAACATAAACTAAGCATTTGACAATTAAAAAAAACATTGACTTGAAAGCCTATTTTATAAAGAACAATTAAATTTATTATATAACCTACAAAGTGTTACAGCCACTTAAACAGAATAAATATTATTATGAATAAGTATTATCATACTCTTTATTTTATTTTTTGGTGTCTTAAAACTATTCAAAATTTCTCAACACAATTTTTACAGCGTACGTATTCTATCAAAATAGTTTATGTAAGAATATCTTTCTGACGATATGAATTAAACAATAATGTTTTTTTATTTGGCTGGAGATAACGTTTAAATAAATTACAGATATAATTATAAAAATTTAAGGTTATCTATTAAATTGATTAAATTCCAATATTTACGGAATTGTCATAATAACCGCGCTGCAATCCGATGAATTGTATATTTGATTAGTTTTTAAGTAAAATTAATTTGGTCGCAATGTGTTTTATTTGCCGTCCTAATGTTCCTTTGATATCAGTGAGAATGGATTATAATAAATATTATTACCTATTTATAAAAATATCTGGGCCGTTTTAAAACTGAAATGATTTATTAAATTATGAATAAAATTGTTCATATTTTAGTTATAAACCTCAAACAGCTTAAATTCTATAAAGATGTATTACCTCAACGCAGTTCATACTAGATTTATATATGCACCTTCTAGGAAATCTATTTTTTTTATGTTTTGTTCTAGTACTATCGATTTACTTTTTTTTACTTGTGACTCTTGCTATGTTGCCTGTTGTATCTATGCAGATATTTGTCCTCGAGACAACTATTTGAGGTTTATAGTTTATGTATGAACGAAATAATTCGTTCTATATTAAAAAATCTATTGGTGAAAAATTTACATTTTTTTAATTAAAAAAGAAGAACAATTTTACGTCCGGGTTCTATATCAAACCGTAACTTGCAGTCATAGAAGCTATGGAAAAGAACAATCGAATGCGCTTTTGTATAGAAAACTTATAGCAATAACGAAATTTATATAAAAAAGCGGACGTATTACAAATTTGTAAAATTATTTTATATATATATTAAATTGGTAATGGAGTTAATATTTTTAGAATAAGTTAACATATTCGTACCAAGTCAAGGCTAGTCGCCACTTACCAGCTGTATGCTTATAAAGTACATTATTTACCGTTATGTAAGTTATTGCTCAGTTATATAATACTTGAATACATTATTGTAACACTAAGTCCATTAATTGTATTAAGCTATTTTGGCATTTTAAGTTGGTATATTGTAAAATTTCAATAAAATGTTGTGTTATTGGTTTCGGATGATGTGAATTGAACAAAATGTCATGTGTAAACGGTGTAGTGATTAGGAATGAATAAACACTGTTTTTAATAAATATTGTTTTATTTATAAACGAGTAGAAAAATAAAGCTACCATATCGCCATTAAATGGTATTATACTTATTCTGAGTATATTTTAAATATCTTCATTTGTATAAAAATCCAGGACTTGCAAGAGTACAGATTTTTGCGGTCCTATCAAACTTAATAGAGGGACGCATGGTCCAATAATTGAACATAATTATGACACATTAATTGCCTATCTTAGGTTTAAAGTATACACTTAAAATGGTTTTTACTTAAGCTGTCGATTCAAAAGTGAAAAAGGTCAAAGAAATTTACGCGCCTCGTGTTATACAATCACAAGGTTGGACAACTGTCAAATTGACAATTTACATTGTTTTAAACCAGTGTAGATATGTGAAAGAGGTATGTACGTACAACGGACCGATTATGAGTCTTAAGTGCGGAAACTGAGTCCACCAACCATAACCAGTGTAGATAGTTAACCACAAATCAGTTAAAAAATAATTGAAAGTAATTTATGACAGATAAACGAAATACATTACGTAAATATTTATAGCGTAAAAATATTAATAGTATCGTTTCTTATATAGGGTTTCAAGATTCTTCATTCAGTAATTCATCCTTCATACACCTCTGCTGTGGCCGCTCCATTGATGTCCTTAAGCTCTGTAGATTTGAATGTAGCGACGAAGTTTATCTTTCCAAGTTTCTATAACAAAAGTTTATATTATCATTAATACAAAAGTTAATTTTTTTTCACATCACACACAGAAATTTAAAGTTGTTAATACACTGCACTGTTGAAATCCAAAATCGACCTTAGCTGGTCAAATTTATTTCAAAATTCAATTCACATAGAATAATTCATTTTCGCTGATATTTATTTTCAATTTATTGTAACGTTTAACTGTTCCTTTGTATTATTAAACGGTATATGGCGGTAAACCCAAGATTTTAGGCACCAACACTCTTTAGCATAGCATTTTATTACGTAGCAGATAATCTTTTAAAATATATATATATGTAAAATATATTTGGGAATGAACAAGTAAGCTTCTCAACCGCCGTATTTTCTCTCTGGCCTAGCTCTAAGTACTACTAAAGTAAACTTATTTTATTAATTTTCAACCTTTTTCATTTCCTTTTCTCATGTTTTTGGCGAAACCCAAGATTTTAGTCTGGTGACTGACTGAAATCTTGGGTTTACACTCTTTAGCATAGCATTGTTTAGCGTAGCAGTAAATCTTTTGTTTTACATATGAGTTATATATAATCGTGAAATATATTTTTGTTATTCAACGCGAGATACCTATAATAATAATTCGTCGAAAATCGGCCGTATTTTCTCTCTGGCCTAGTTCTACTAAAGTACACTTTTTTTTATTAATTTCAACCTTTCTCATTGTATATCTTTTTCTCATATTTTATTAGTGGCCAAACTTACCAGAATGAATAAATATTTTTACTTTCATTAAAATACTATGGATTTCTAATTAAATATAATATTTTAATACAAAACCTCGGCCAGAATAATATAGTATATCAATACTTACATTAGGTTGTACAGGCAATTCGGTTGTCAGTGTTTCTTTAGGTTGTACGTCAGCTGCGTTGACTCTGAAAGTCCGTCCAGCGATGCCTGATGACGTCAAACGGAACTCACCACCCGTTAAAGGCCGATCTAGGGGATTGACAAACGACAGCACTATCGTTGTCGGCTGGTTGATAATAAGGTCTTCGTTGAACTGTAATATTTTAATTAATTAGCACTAATATAAAATTGGTATGGTTTTAATTGCGAAATAATGTATATATAAATCAAATAAAAATGTGTTTATTCATTATAAAAATGCATTATTTCAGAAACCATTTAAGTAAAAAATTTCTCTGTTTGAATTCCCAACTCTCCAATAACAAACTTAATAGGTAGTTAATTCCGTAATAAAATTATTTTTTTCTTTTTCAATTACAATTTTGAAATTGTTTATAACAGTGCACGTGAGTGGATGAGTGTATAATGTGTTAGGTCTCGGTATCATCTCCAACACTGCGTAAGTTGTGTTCATTAACCGTTGACCGTAAACATCACTAGCATTCTGTTATTGGGGCTTCGATACAAAGATTGTTCTAGATTGCGGAATAATTCCGCATACTTCCTGAAGCAGATCTTAGTAGATTTATTGAGGGTTTGTAATCCAATACGATATTGTCATACGGGAGTTTGTTACTCAGTAAATGTGTAAGCGACTCTAAAGCCTTATTTGTACTCGTCATAAATTTACAAATATCACCTAACTTGACAAAGGAGGATTTCTTTCATTTGTACCGTTAGATTATTTTAAAACTCATATCCCTTACCACTAATCCGATCTATTCTGATCTTATTACGCTGGTTTCAAAATAATACGTACTTTTATGTTGATACTGGGTTTTAGGATTTGGAAATCGTCATCATCAGCCCAGGACTGCTTGGTCTCGTCTACGATGGCCATTGCTGATATCTTCATGTTACAGTATTCAACCAATTTCGGCAAATAGTCCTCAGCCTGGACCAATATGCTTACTTGCTCGTCTGAAAATTAGTTATTAGTTAGAATATTAAAACTATAAACGATTGTACTTTGAGTTTTGTTGAGGAAGGTGAACAGTTCCTACAACCTTAAGGGAGGATTCTTGATTTAACCACTTGCCGACCCGAAAACCCCAGTGATTATTTATGTATGACTAAAATGAGAAGGAAAAATAGCAAAAAAAATATTACAATTTGTGTTTAACTATGTGTTTATTTATTTATAATAATAAATTAATCGCATACTATCAAGAATAAATTAATACCAAATCATTTATTCATTTAATTAACACAATGTACACTGATGAACGTCTTTAAAGAAATACATATTAAATGCTCCTAATTTTACATTTACTGCCAGTTCTTAAATCAAGGGCGTAGAACGGACGTGAAGAACTGAAAATAAACTCTCCGCCCCTTTTTTCTAATCGCCAAGTTTTTTTGTTGTATTTTTACAAAATGTTTGTAAGGAGCTGCAACAATTACACCATGTTCCACGCGACATATTTAAGTAATTAATTAGTTAATTAATAATAAAAAAACAAAGATTTGTCTTCTATCAGCAGTAGGAATGGTGAAATAGGAGCCCGCACTTACATTCTCGTGGGAACAACATGCAAATACATAGTCGAAATAAGTAACATCACCGCAAACACGAATTCAAGTCCGACCAGTCACCACAAGTAGCACCCGTTCACGAGTATGACGCTAGCCAGGCCCAGCCATAGGCCCCTTCGCCATATTTTAGGGAGAGAGACAACCCGGCGCATGGACGCCGCCACTAGCATCAAAAGTATAAACCACATAGAACTTACTTTTGCCAGGTCCAACGAAAAGCTTTCCTTCGACCTTCTTGACTACATCGGACTTGACACCGTTGTAGTACACACTGCTTGCTGTTAGCGCAGCCTTTATATTACGACCCTGTAATCGAAAACATTATAACTAATGCATTTTCGTCGATGATCGTTAACATCAAATCGTAACGAATTAAATAAAATAAACCATAACTTTGCCTAGGATTATTGCTAATATTTGATAAAAATATTTGCATGAAAATCTTTACAACGCTGTTGGTTGTTAAGTCCTGCTGTGTCACGTCCGGACACAGCAGTCCGTTATCTTTAATAATTTATTTGTAATCTTACAGCTAAATCAATATATATAAAACATAAGCAAGAACATTAATATACAAAAAAACTGAAACATAAAACAACAACCATATTAGGTTCAAAGAAAAAACTAAATTGTTACTTCTAAACAAAGTCAAAGCCCTCCCGCCTCTTTAAATATTTCGTCAAATCCTATTTGGTGAGGAATAAAATATCAACATCCTCATAATTTGTGTCATAAATAAAACCCAAAACATTAGCGAATTATGCAGGTAATTCGTGTTCCTACGAGGCATAAATTATTAATTAATTATAATTGTATAATTCTAAATTTATTTTTATATGTTCGATTTTGTTCGAATAAATTTACAATCTTAATATATATAAATTACGTGTTACGTTGTTTGTCCGCTATGGACTACTGAACCGATTTCAATCAAATTTGCAAACCATGTGCGGTTTGATCTAACTTAAAAGATAGGATAGCTTACATCTCAATTTATACCCACAATATTATTTAATTGCAAATTATTAGTTAATTATTTGATAGTCACAATTCTAACAGATGGCGCTGTGTTGAAAGTTCCAACGTTTCACATAAGCTACAATTTAATGGCATAACCACCAAAAAATCATGGTGGTCCCCATGACTGGTGTTCTCCTACCGATTCCCTTAAATAGTTTACTACTATGTAATATAACGAAAACCTTAGCCACAGCAACGCTTGGCCGGTCTGCTAGTATGTTTATAATTAAATGTATGTAGCTTACCTCAGTTTCAGAAGTATTTTCAATATCAATTGTAACTCTGAAAGCTTTTCCGATGGGCACTGTGTCTATGTCTCTTAGTTTAAAGCTGATGTCATTGGAAAGACTTGCTGCCACAGCATAGTACCTGATTATATATAACCATTTAATACACTAGAGATTAATACATAAATATACACATAGAGATTAGCGGTTAAAGATTTGATTGCTGCATGGATGGAAGGAAAGCCTCTCTTGGACATGAAAATTTAAATAATAAATCCAGATAATGTGTCTGAAAAGTCATTAAGCTATTTAAATTTAAAAGACTATAATAACGCATTTAATTGTTATGCTTTATTATAAACTACAACTTTATCCATGACCAAAGCACGCGAAAAATAGAGTTTCTAAAGTAAAGAAGTCCAAATAAACAATTGAATATTGTGAAAATGAATCCTTTTAATTGTATAGAAATTTATATTGACTCTCTCACAGAATATTCTCTAAAGGGAATGAGGAAGAGACTTGCGAAGTAATCACTATTTCATGACTGTCATACCACTGTGAGTCCGATACGACTTTAGTACCATAGAGCAGGTTTTCGACAAATATGTTCATCGAAGTGTTAACTTCCAAATTTAGGTCTAATATTAAAATCTTTAATGGAAAAACTTAGCGTATTTTTCCACATGAACTTACCTCTTAGCCCTCTCAGAGTATCTTACTCCATTCATGAGCGCCAATCGCTCGCTGGCCGTACCCTCTCTATGTTTGTATTCCCCTGTGATGTCTTGCCTATCAGCATCACCAAGAGGGTCGAACACGTATGGTTTCTTTGTCAAAACCATTCGACCAATGCTAAAAGTAAAAAATATATAAGTGTGTATAAGTCTTTATTATTAAAAAACTCATTTTTGTATCGTGCAGCCCGGACATCCAACGACCAATATTTAAGCCTTGACTTCTTTAAGCTATCGCGGAATGTGATTAAAAGGAGCATTAAGAATATACATAGCGCAAAATCACCTGCATCATGAGCAAACCCCACATTTGAACGTCAAAAAAAAATACAAAGAAGATTCTAGTTGCCCCTTAAAAAAGGTAGTTTCGTGTGGAGAAGAATGGGCTAGAAACTCCACACTTACTCTTTTAAAATAGGTTTACAATATTTTGTTACATTTGTTAAATGTGAAGACAATGTACTCTTAGAATAAACTACCTACTATACTAAAAAAGTAAGTAATTGTTTGTTATTATATATATATTTTTTTAGCTGTAGGATTGCCAAATAAATAATACCGGACCTGTATATTCTTTATATTCAACCCATGCATATAATAATCAATTCAATATTAATAAAAAATAAAAAAAAGTTTGGTCCCTGTGGCAGTGTACCTTTAACGCTGGTAGCATTTCCTCGCTGTTTTGCTATACTTATACGTTGAGCGAGGAAAGCACCAGCTCTGGGGTCACCGGTTACAGACCAGGCGCCAATTTATATCTTTAATTAGCGCCTGTGCACTTGAACCTCACGGCCCAAGAGTCTAGTATTTAATTAATTACTATTTTTGAGGGTTATAAGAATGAAATACTTTTAGTTACCTACATGAATATTTTACGTTTACTTACTGATAGTTATTTGTGTCGACCATTGAGAAGCCGCTTTCCGCCTCTGGATCTCGTCTCCACCGCATCAGGTCAGCATTGACTGAAGCAAGCATAAACTCGACATCATGGGCCACACCGATGACTCCTTGCTTGATAGCTTCCAACGGTGCTGGACCGCACTGGTACATTCCAGAAGAAGTCTCTTGTGGAGTTGCATCTACGGCTTGCCAGCCGCCGTAACCTACGATGTTAAATTAAGAAAAAATTAAATAATCTTTTCTGCACTGTTAAAAATACTTATTACTTACAGCTTCTCTTACTACTCTTCTCGTGTCAACAGTAATTCTCTTATGAAAAACTAATTAATCGGTCCTAATACCCAGTCTTTCAAGTGGATATATTAATAAAATAAATATAGTTTAAAAAAACTAAAAAACACGCTTTTAAAGCACATCAAACTAAAAAGTGAAAAATAATTCCTAATTTAGGCTGAAAATGGAAATGAACAAAAAATAATTGTTTTATTGTGAAAAAGCGTGGGTTGCTCGATAATTTTTTGTATATTTATTTTCCACTTTTTAGTCCTAGCAGCAATACGTGTTGTCTCAATTTAATCGTATTGCTTTGTGGACTTAAAAAAAATTTCATTGTTTTTTTGAGATAAACCTATGAAATTATTATATTGTCGCTGATTCTTTATAAGTGTACAAAGTTTGAATTAAATCTGTCCGTTTAATGTGGGTCAAAATCGAGTCCGAAGGAGTCGATTACATACATACATACATACACACAGGTGAAGCTAATATAAAGCGTGTAAAAACACTGTATTTGTTTTTAAATAAAATAAATAAATCGTTTACCGCACAATCAGCCATGTAGAAAAAGGCTAAAAGGCATGTTTAAAGAACTTTATTTCTCATTACAAAAAATGTAGTTTTATTTACATAAGAAACTTAATATAATATAAATATACGAGATACGCGTCGCCAACAGCTATCCCAATTTTAGTCTATTACGCTCATTCTAATATTATGTATATTAAATGCCCTTTTGAATTGATTAAACACGCTAATATTACGAATTAGTATCATAATGTCATATAAGAAATAAAGTTATTTATAATGTTTATCAAACATTTTGTATGTTATAAGGATAAGAGTATGTTATAACTGCAATATTCATGTACCTGGAGGAAGATCAGGTCTCGCCATCCATACATCGTTCCATACATGGTAGTTCCAGATTGAATCTGCTCCTTGTGGGTTATTGGGGTCATAGTCCAACTCTTCCATGGTCTCCGTGTAGTATTTGTCTACAGTAAGGGAGCTGTTCGCGTCGTGAGCCGACACCAAGTTGGAGACCACACGGGACGGGATTCCAAGGGCACGGCAGACTGTCAGTAGAGTAATAAAACTTCATATACTGTACTGTATGTATTTTTGTAAATAAATAAATATTGTGGGGAAGAAATCCCCTGGCTGTGTCCATCTATCTATCTGTATGAACGCGATAAACTCAAAAATTACTAAAAAAAATCTACGCTTCCCCAATAGATAGTGTGGTTCCTAATAAAGGTTGAGGTGTATAATATATTATGGTTTTAAGTATATGAAAAAATACGCGATATTCACACTAGTCATTAAGTATATTTATTTGATAAAAAAAGCAGAGGCGCTTAAACATTTAAAGGGCCTCAGATTTCGGTATCGGCGCCTATTTGTATAAGAAAACTGTTAAACAACTTAATTTAATGTCAAAAAAATAAACCGATTTCTTGGTAAATATTATCATAAGAATTCAATAAAAACGAATAATAGGCTAATAAGTAACATATAATCTACATATGTGTCGCCTGTGAATGTTTGTGTATGGTTATTATCACTTAAATTCCGCAAAACATCCTTTATTAATATTTATAAAGCCTACGTGCGGTTTAGGATAATATCAATTACGTGACTTGCTTGAAATATCTAGACTTTGATTTAAAACGTCTAGACTAAAGCTCTTTTATTCGTTTCTGGCTGTCTTTTATATTGAAGGATGTGGAAAAAGAAATGTTCCATTTGAGGATCAGAAATTTTTTAAAATGGTCACGTATTCGGTAACGACATCGGGAAAAACTTCGACTTGTATTGGATATTGCAAGAATTTGTTCATAATTGAGGCTTCCGTACAGATATCGGCAAACTTCTTGAGCATTAAACAAGGAAGTGGGGGAAAGTTTGCGCATCGCGTGACACAAACGTCAACTGATTTACCATTCACGCGGTCAACACGTCACTCTCGAGCCGCTGCGCACCACTAAGGTAATACCTAAAACTCGCTTCTGCGCAGGCAAGGACATTTGTTTAAGATGTTTGCCGGTATCTGTACGCGTACTAAAGTTCGTAAATGTAATGATGGTAATAATAAATAAATAAATGTTCGCAAAGCAAGGGAAGTTTGGAAAGCGTTGGAGGAGGCCTATGCCCTTCTGTAATACTTAAAACTAGACTTAAGAATTTACATCATTGTTAATCATTTGTAACATTTTTGAAAAAAAAAACATAATTATATAATAATAAGAATTAAAAGTTTGTCCTCAAATTTCTTAACGAAACGTTTCGTATAATTTAAGTTTTAGTATTTTAACTTCGGAAACAGTTCAAGTTTTATCAGAATCGGTTAAGTCGTTTTTGAAGTATAGCTATTTTGATACAGAACATGCGACGTGGAAATAATATATTGTTATTTACGGTTGTTAGGTACTTCAAATCTCTTTTTTTTTAATACTTATATATTATTATACTATATAGCTCCAAAATTACAATCACTTCTTTGCGGGTTGGAGAACAGCTGAATGATTTATATCATGTTATCATACTAGACATACAAGATGTATGGAAATTTACCTAACATATAGTCTAACATACATATTTATTCTGTATATTGTATACCTGTGGTAACAACGCCAGCGAACACCCAGCACTGTCCATACGGCACTTCCTGCTGAGTTTCCAAGTACTGCGCCAATATATCAACAGAGCCAGTCCACTCAGACGGAGCTGTTCCATCTTCATACTGGCCATCCCATCGCCCCACAAGAACTCCAGCATCATCGTTCGAGTTAACAATACGGGATATAACTCGAGCCACTTTAACTGGATCGCCGCGTCTTGGAAAAATATAAATATTTATAAAAATTTAATTAACATTGATTTTAAGCATAGATAGTAGACTAGAGTTTTTTTTTTTTTAAGTATTTTTTTTCTATTTTATTTATTTATTTATTAACACTTCGTTGCATTAAGATAATAAAAATTTAACGTAATTAAGTGAAAAAAAAGGGCAGCTGGCGGCCTTATCGCTTTCGAGCGATCTCTTCCAGGCAACCACTGCAAAAAAAAATAACTAACACTAAAAAACTAACTAAAACAAAACAGGAACAAAAAAATTAAACTAAAAAAAGGATACATCAAAAATAAAAAGTGCACATGAATCACGACATTTTAAATCAGTCTCACGTCAGTTAGTAGGTAATTAGTACGAAAGTTAGGAATACGATGTGGACAGGTAATGTTTGTGCAGTTTATTGCTTGTTGTAAATAATATTCGATCTTAAATTATTTTTTTAGTGTTTATGAACTTGGACCATAGCCTATGACTGGTTTTTACGAATATATAAACAATGATTTTATCAACAATTTTTTACAGGATTACATGGTTCCTTGCTATATTAGTTCTCGGCAAATATACCAGCGAGAATCATAAGAAGAAATAATAAATAGAAGACGTGTCGAAACATAAAAATACTCACTGGTGGAACGGCATTTCGGCTCTGTCAAGCATAAACATACATGCCGGCAAAACCACAGCATCGAATTGTCCGTATAGCCACGGCTTACCACGTGTGGTCTTAATGGGACCGACCCACACTTTGCCTACGTCATTTAAGACGTACTCCTGAAGAAGAGCGGTGTCTTCCATAAAAGTTTGGTCATCTGTAATTAGGGTTTTTGGTTTACGAACAATCTATTACAGTATACATGAGATTCAGATGTCCAAGTTGAATACTGCCCCATGGAGGCTTAGAAGAAATTAATTACCAAACTATAGCTCACGATTGCCAGAAGTGCGTTGAGATCGAACTTTCGTTCGAGTTTCAGGCTTGTATTGTTTTATGAATTGTTGTGTTATCTAAAAAATACGACTCAAAAATGTTTTAAAAGCTAACTCTGACTAAACACACATAAATGTAAATACCTGTGAATTTTAACAGTGTTTTTTGCTAAACAATTTAACTAGACGATTACAATAATTGTACTCCACGATTTTTATTTAATTACCTGGTATCCATGGGTTGAAAAGTATGTATAAGTCCTGGTCAAAGTCATACACCTCCCGGACGGGTGCGCTCTTCATTCTAGTGACAACTCGTAATGCCCAGGAACCAACTGGTAATGTTACTGGTGTGGATATCTAAAGATACGATTTTGTGTTGAGAATATATATATGTATATATACAAACAAAAAGTCGTAGTTGCAGATTTGAGACTACTAAACTACGATAGATAACTATAACTTTAAACTATGGTGGGTTCATTAAGCCCAAAAAATCGCTTGACAACGCGGGACTTATTGACTATCTCTTTTTATCACAGCGTCACAGATAGAGACGAAACAATACTTTATTAAAAGATACAAGAACTTCCGTTACTTTTGATAGAAAATAATACCAAACTAATAAAAAAATCAGGATTATAAAGCTAAAAATCATCGTAATTAAATCTAAAAATACATCCAAAAATAATAATAGCTGTTTTTATAGTGTTCCTTGTTAAAGCATTAGATATAATTGTATTTTTATTTTTTTGTCAGATTTGATTACCAACCAAACTTGTTGACTTTTCAAAACAAAACTCGTCATAACAACTTACAAAGTTGATATAGTCATAAGTACTATAATGAACGAATCAATATTTAATAATTTTAACAAACCCAACCGGTTTTTCGTAACAAATATAAGACGTTTCGGAGTCTATAATCCTAATATTTATTATTCTAATCGTAAACAGATAATAAATATTGCGATGGAATTTCCTCTACTACATATTGTTGTTTGTAAAGCAAGGCGTAATAGTTGAACCTCTTTCAACAAGTACTCTCTCTCTCTACTGGAACAGATGCCGATTAAAAAGAGTTTCATGGCAGTTTTTCACGTTGTTTAATGCCCTTGATTTGAGAAATGGCAGTAAACGTAGGTAATAAATTATTGACGTTTTTAAGTGTACAAAAGCTCACTTGATATAACTTTGTAGGCTTTGACGGTAAATCATTAATTTAAATATGTAATAACAAATTTTTGCGAATATATCAAAATTACGTGTCTCATGAAATGGACATGAAAATATCGAACTATTGATAAGACCAGTAACGCATCGCAACGCATATCATGTGCACGTCTGCCACCTGTTCTATAAAAAAAATGAGTGTTCAGTTGATTGTTTTTCAGAACGACATTATGGATGGAATTCGATATAGTTTGATTGTAGTCTGGATTAAGGTGTCCCGTGGAAGTAGGTTTCACGACGGAGTCGCGCGCAAGTTTTGTCGCCCATGAAAATAAAAAATATAATAATCAATATGCACATGCTTCAATCCTATTACAAGAGGCGTACGCCAAGGTGATCCTATATCGCCTAAATTATTTTCTGCTGTGCTAGAAATGATCTTTAGGAATTTAAACTGGACCAGAATGGGACTCAATATAAATGGCCAAAACCTCAACCATCTACGCTTCGCAGATGATTTGATTTTGTTCTCAGAGGACGCAGGAACACTGGGACTTATGTTGCAGCAACTATCCAATGAAAGTGCTAAGGCCGGTCTGTCAATGAACTTAACCAAAACCAAAATTATGACGAACGCCCAACTAACAGTAAACAACGAACAAATAATAGTAAATAACGAACCAATAGAATATGTAAATGGATACATATATTTGGGCCAACTTATATCTGCAGATGATTGCATGAACAAAGAAATAGAGAGAAGAATAACTAATACTTGGAAACGGTTTTGGTCTCTTAGAGAAATAATGAAGGACACAGATATGCCAATGACAGGAAAAAAGAAAATATTCGAAACATGCATTATACCATGCCTATTATATGGGTGCCAGACATGGGCGTTAACAGAAAGGCAAGAAAATAAATTAAAAGTCTGCCAAAACGCAATGGAAAGGAGTATTTTAGGTATAAAAAGAAGAGATAGAGTAAAATTACAAGAAATCAAAAAGAAAACAAAATTCAAAAATGTACACACAATCTACAGACAGCTTAAATGGCGTTGGACCGGACATATGTTGAGAGAAAGTACAGAAAAATGGACAAAGGATAGTAACTGAGTGGTATCCAAGAGATACCAGAAGAAAAAGAGGTAGGCAAACGAAAAGATGGGAAGACGACTTCAACAAAATAGCTGGTCCGGTATGGACTCGTTTAGCAAAAGACAGGAATACGTGGAAATCTTTAGAGGAGGCCTTTGTCGACAGAGAAGCTGTTCCAGACAAACATCCAGTTGCCGAACATACAATGATTAAACCAATTTAATTTAGTAAGTACTTCGAAAGTAATTTAAATTTAATTTAGTGGAAAAGTATTTAGAAAGTAATTATGTTAGGCATGTATTAATTAATGAGTATTATTGTAAGATAGAAACAGCAATAAAGGCTATTTTATTTTATTTATTTATGCACATGCTTTAGATAGGCATTTGATTATGCTAATAATATTATCCGAATAGGGATATAGGTACATTATTTTGAGCCCATAATTATGCAAAACGCTTTGTTATTACAATCATGGCGCTTAAATATGAAGACCAAATCCTTAATAGTTAAGCCAAAATTTATGAATAAAATTAAATAAGCTAGTAGATTAGAATATAAATGTCTTATTAAGATTGAAATTTATATGTTAATATAACATTAAAATACAATGAGTTATTACGAAGTCCAAAAACATCACTAAGATTCACAAATAAGTAGCCGACCTATAACTTTAATCTATAAATTTAGAGAGATTTTCATAGGCCAATATTAATCGAATAAACCTAAAGTTAATGAAAATAATTCAACTTTTACCTTCTATTTCTCCAATTATGAAACATTACGTTGCGAGTATGCGAGTATTAAAATTGGAGGAAACTTATATTTTTTATTTAATTAGTCTTCAATTAAATCTATTTTTAATACCAACTGTCATTTTCAAACTAATTACTTACGAGTACATCGTATCTTAGGGATACATACATACAGGTGTGAGTGTCCGATTTCTGAATCTGTTCCGTGATCATTTCTAATAGGCAAGTAAGTGATCAGTCTCCTGTGCCCGACACACACCATCGACTTTTTGGATCTAAGGCCCGTTTCCTTACGATATTTTCCTTCACCATACGAGCGAGTGTTAAATGCGCACATAGACAATAAGTTCATTGGTGTACAGTCGGGGATTGAACCTACGACCCCAGGAATGAGAGTCGCACATTGAAACCACTAGGCCACACGGCTGCTATCTTAGGGATAAGGGTACTTAATTCCTTAGTTTTCGATAAGACAATACAGAGTATTACGACTAACCTCAAAAGATAGAGTGTTTTCCTGAACATCCAGTAATTTGGCGGTCCATGCGTGTTTGTCTGGTACAGCGTCACGTTTCAAGAACATGGATCCCATCGTGTCTTGAAGCGGCTTGTCACCTGTAAAGTATGGTATAACTTTAAAAACTATTACTAAAAGAATTACTTATAAAGTCTATAAAAGATTGTATATTTAAATGAAAGACACTTAAGTGTTCTTTAACAGCAATACGCTTAATAACGACGCACTTCTATTTGTTGGTGATTGGCTTTGAGGCGGCGACTTCAGAATCAGACAGAATCATTTAAAGAGTGTTGTCCTTGTAAACTTTTAAACCAAAGGATCTAAACTATGCTGTATTTATTAAAGTCTAAGGTGAAATGTATTTTTTATTGATCCATAATATTATTGGATTTATCTGCGAGTAACAAACGTTTGACGACAATTTGTGAAACCACCCAACGGATCGTTGGGTTATAAAAATCAACTTGAGTTTATATTCATAAATCTGTGTAATGTCAATATGAGTCAGGTATGTTTTTTCTTAATTTCGCACTCAAATTACCATAGTTATCACGTTAGGTTGAACTTAAGAAAAAGATAAGCAAAACATGAAATTTAAGTATGTTCTTTGATCAAAAAAACTATTCAAGCGCCATTAAAATCATTTTATATCAGTTAGCATTCGATAGTGCATCTGTAGATACGATTAATTATAGGTTGGCTTAGCGTGCGACTTTCAATCCTGCCTTGCGATTCTGTAACTCACTTTTCGAACTTTCACAGCAGTTTTTGCAGCGGCGGTCGTGCTCAAATCAGTCGTGAAGCAGTCATTTTACGATTTGGCATTCTGATAAACAATAAACTACCAGCTCCCTCCTTATCAGAATCGCAAGGCTGAGGTTCGAATTGAATTGTGCGCACTTAACAACTTTGCTTCTTCGGTGAAGGAAAACAGTGCCAAAGTTCTACGACATGTGTCAGGCAAAGGCTGATCATCCTACTTGCATATAAAATTAAGTTTTAATAATAAGGTTTTAACTAAATACTTCAGTTTACTTACCAAGAGTAAAAACGAATTGAATAAGATCGTCGTTTTCGTCATAGGGTCTCGTGAATCTGATGACTCCATTAAATGGTTGACCTCTCCGCACAATTGTGCTCGTGGGGTTTTCATCGTTAACTGCCTCAAACCTAGGAAATAAATTCAGAATATTATTCGTTGTAATAAAGAATATTGTTTTACGAAAGATCTGAAAATCTTATTTCCTACTATCCTAGAAATAAATTTAATAACTATTTTATTATATTCAAAACTCCCGAGGGGACTTTTGTATGGGAAGAGTCTCATGGGTCCGCCAATTAGGTAGGAATATAACATGACAAAAGAAAACAATAATACATATTAAATACCTACGTGAATAACTTTAAGATATTAATGTAATACTTACTTCACAGTATTATGTGGTTGTGCATTCTCCCTTGGATAAAAATGGACGACATCGACTTGAAGGGGCTCCATTTTATTTTTATTTTATCTGCGATAACATAAAAATTTGCCATGCCTTAGTAATGAAAAAATCTATAAAATAATTTTTTTAACACAAAAATAACACTTAAAACTAATTATACACCCTTTGATCGGCAAACACAACATGCTTTATACTTAATAACTATTGCTAACTAACAGAATTCTTACAAACCATCTATGTGTGATATTAAAATCGGGAGATACTTATTGTATTAATAATTGCAAAATTTTGGAAAAGATGTCTCTTCGAAACTGAAAAATTTATATATATTGTGAGTAAGCTCCTATTTCCTGTTTTATCCTAAATAAAAGTATTGCATACAGTAAACATATATATATATATATGATTATAAACCTCCAGGTTGAAATAACAGGACTGCTCAAAAGTAGTTAGTGCGACAAAATTATATTGAACCACAATTTTGCGGAACACATATTAACATAAGTCTATATTCATCTAGTATGCACTATAAATAACACAATACGTCATATACCTAACGTTGCATTTGAATGAATCAATTACAATGATTGAAATAACCATAAATGTATTCTATGAATTGATTCGAAGAACTACAACAATGATTTGTATATTCTTTGTAAAATATTTTGTAATAAATAATTGGTTTTAAAGTTTTTGCAACATGTAAGTAACAATAGATGAATAAAAGTGGGTTTAGGTTATCGCTTTAATTATTTAAATATATGTTATTTTTATTCGTATGTACAGTATTTACTAATTTTCTTAACCGACATAGTAACAGTAATTTAAAAATGATTAATATTAAATTAATATAAATTTTAAAAGTTTGGTCCCTGTGGCAGTATAATGTTGGGAGTATTTCCTCGCTGTATTGCGATACTTAATCGTTGAGCGAGGAAAGCACCAGCTCTGGGGTCACCGGTACTATCTACCAGATGCCAACTTAAATCTTTAATTAGCGCCTGTGCACTTGAACCACATGGGCCAACAGTTTCTACTCAAAAGGGAACAAAATCGGTGGAATAACTTTTATATTTGAGCCCTTTAATTTTTCATTTTTTTAATTGCAAAAATGAATACGAAAAAATAGTATATATATCCTTTATAGAAATAACATTAATCTTAATATTAGAATTAAGAAAATATGCTCTCCGAAAAGATATTTTCAGCTGTATGAATGTAGGGAATGTCTAACATACTTAGTATATACACACACAAAAGAAATAGGATTAAGATATTATTACCTAAATTATAATTTAAAAACCTAAATTATATTTAAAATTTCTTTTAAATGTTTTTTTCTAAAGTTTTGCTTAAGGAATTTATTTATTAACACTTCGTTGCATGTATACAGAAATATAGTACAATTGAAATTATAAAATAAAACAGAGCAACTGGCGGCCTTATCTTATTTACCGTAAGAATTTGTCGTAACACTAATAAGATTATAAATCTAGCGTTTACTTATATTTATATAAAGAATTAAATTTGACTTGTTCAATAGTAAATTATCAAAAATAACATAAGGTAACCGATTAAATGAAGATTTTAACCCGTGAAGGTTATCTGATATACTAAATTTATTTCTAACAAAAATGTAGAGTACAATGACCCCGGATATTTATATATTAGACCAATTAACAATTTATTGATAGCTATTATTTTGAAATATTTTTGTTACTTATATAGTATAGTAAGTATATCTTACTTTTAAAATTATGTATCACTTATTCACAACTCACGTATCGCTAACACGTAATGTCTTAATCTAATCGATGGCACTGAATTCGATGCGCGCGCGCAACTGACTCGAAGAGCCGAAAAGCGTCGGATATATCATGAGAAACAAGTCATAGTTGAACTTTGCAGGGTGGATATGTTTGCTGAAATATTGAGGACATTTCTAGCTATTGATGTCTTTGTCTACTGACTACTTTTGCTGTGTAAATCGTGGAGGAAAAAATTAAGTAGTACAATTACAATAATAGTAAAATTGTGTAGTATCGAAATTTCGATAAAATGAACTAAGCTATACCGCTTTCAAAGTTATAATAATATAATAATTACCTAATTCCGACCAATCGTTCCAAGGGCGAATTTAACATTCCTCCATTATCGTCGTGATGAAACCATCGTGATGAAGGGAATAAGGGACGGTCCTTAGACGGCGTGGCCCACCTTTATTCATTTAAATTAATTTAAGATTTAGTTTAGTTTTATTTCAGTTACTATATTTTTGTAGACAACTTGTTTGTGATTCAATTTTTAAATATCCTCAGTACTCAACATTTGTTTTTTTTACAAATAACACAATAGATTTTATTTTAAACTACATTTTCCAAACTCTATGTTCACCCTACAGTGACGTGCGGCGCGGGCGCCTACAGTGTCATCCTATTAATAAATATTTATACAGAAACAGACAGTAATTCCCAAAGGTCGAACTTAGAACACGTCACATTATGTCATTGAAGTGACGCCTAACTGGTCTTTCCTCGGACTACGTGATAATTCAATTGTATGATTATTTAGGGAATTGAATTTGCATGAATCAGTCATGGAAGAAGTTGTTCTCTGGCTGGGCATCGGCAGAGTTTTCTTTGTCTACTATCACATGCCTGTGAAGGAAAACATCGTGACGAAATCCAGCACTTCTTACATCCAAAAATCAACGAGCCACCGTGCTTTTTATAGGCCCTAAATAATCAAATAATAATAGGTAAACATTAAAATATTCCTTAATTACTAATATAGGCCGTAAATAATAGTTAAATAAAAAAGAATAAAATATTTCGTAATTACCAATAAAGGTCCTAATGAAAAGTTAAATAAAAAAGAATAAAACATTTCGTAATTACCAATAAAGGTCATAAAGAATAGTTAAATAAAAAAGAATAAAATACTTCGTAATTACTAATATAGGCCATAAAGAATAGTTAAAAAAGGGTGCGTGTACTTATGTACGCGCGTAAGAAGTTATACTTCTTTGGCATTATTAAAAATAGTTTTTGATTGCATGCAAATAATTAATTACAATTAAATAATCAAAGACTGGAAAAGGAGTCATTAAAGTCAATAAAGTTCAGTTTACATTTGAAAAATTAATTAAATAAATATTTATTATTATTCTCTTACATTAAACAAATAAAACACTATGTATCTTTAAAACATTTTTATTTCATTATACTATTTATTTTTAAGTGACTCTAATGTCTTCATCAGAATTTCGGTTTGTAATTTTAAATTAATCATTACTTGGTTGTGCATCTACGAGGCTTCTCCAAAACTACTTGCTTTCTGCAACAAATAAGAGAATATTAATTTAAGCTCTGTCCATGCAAAACTTAAAATTTTTTATAATTCATATTATAAATTTTTTAACACATTTATATTAATATAATTATATAAATGTGTTAATAATATAATTTGTAGCACATGCTACAGACCTGGATAGCAACTTTCTTTTATTCTATTTAGAGATAGAGATAATTTAAATATAATACCGGTGTCTTCCTTGTAGGTTTCTTTTGGAGTTGTTTGGGGATTCTTGTTGTTCAGTTCGACATGATTTTCTTTTAACCTTTCTTTTAATCCTACAAAATAATGAAATTGTTAAGTTATGTTGTCACTGTTGTGCACACCTTTGTTTGGCTTTTTTAGTATTCAAGTTATGTCAAAACTGATTTATTACCTTGTCATTGTTGGCTTTATTTGCTTTTGGGATATCAATTGTTTCCAAAATGATTTTATTTGTAATAACCTGAAATATATAAATAACATCTATTAATTTAAGTATCATGGTGAGTGGTTCGCACTCAGGTATTAAGGTGTATTATACCCACTATCCATTATAAGTGGGAATGGGCTCACTTCTGGCAGGACAGAGTTTCGGTACTACAAGTGCAACATGGATGTTTTGAGGTATTATAATATCTCTAACTACCCTGTAGGGGAATAAAGTAATGTTGTAAGCATATGCCTATGCTTGAAAGGTTGAACCTTGAACATCACCATACATCATATTTATAATTAACATTCCTACCTCGACACCATCACAATCAAATTCATTGAAATCTACTTCAAACCATTGTGTCTCGAGAAGGTGATGGTGGCTTTGTTCCACCTCCAGTTTTTGATGTTTCACGGCGATAAGATGACAACTCTTTTTTTGTATTCAATTTAGTGCACTTCCACTGATTCATCAATTGTTTTTTGTCTCTTGTCCTTATATTTGCTAGATTAAATCTGATGTTTTGATTAAATAATGTGGTCATTTTTTTGAGATGCAGGTACTTATTAAAATGTTTACTTCTCTGTTATATCGCTCCAAGCCTTCATTTTCTCCTTATTAGTATTCGTGCTTAAATCTTTGTTCTCAATTATTGATATATAGGGTCGTAGAATATTTCTAAAAAGTTGCTGTAACAAACGCAATAAACAAAAGCAATGAATAATGGTTCATGTTTCAGTTTTAATCAACAATAATACTCGATAATACATACGGATAGTTAACCTCAATTGTATTGAAGCACTCAGGAAGGTTAGCACAGTTTTTTCACAAATATTTTATATTATTTCAAAAATATTTTGTATAATGAAAATAACTAGGTATATAATTATTAATTTTAAACAATAATTAAAACTCCTATATTTGTTTAAAAGGTAAATGTCATTGTCAGATGTCAATTGTCATAGTCATTCAAAATTCTTGTTAAGCTGCTAAGCTAGAATATGCGTGAAGTTAGCTTCACGCATATTCTATTTCTTTTACTTGTAGTTTGTCTTATTCCCATCTCGCTCGCGCACGCTATATCACACTGCCAATTTTGTGTCATAGGTGCGCGCGCAATCGTAAAATTTCACTCTCATCAATTTTTCATAACGCGCCATAAAGAATAGTTAAAAAAGAATAAAATACTTCGTAATTACTAATATATTATATAGGCCATAAAGAATAGTTAAATAAAAAAGAATAAAATATTTCTTAATTAGTCATAGGACCGCTTCGTTG